CACGAGCATCGTAGAATTCGCTTTTCACAATACTTTGTGTGATTACCAAACTAGGGTGACCCATGTTGTCAGAAAATGTCACAAAAAGGCCAGCCTTTACGGTAACATTGGAAATCTACTATATCTAGTAAGCCTAGTATAATAAATAACAGGCACAGTAAGTTCTACCCATGGGGAGGCAATAAAATAAATAAAATTACTCCAATAGACATATGGCTACGAAGTGAACGTTTCCTGAACACACTATTTTACACAATACAATATCTGGTAAGCCTCTTAATCATGAATTAACCTATTAATGATTTAAGCTGTTAATCATGAATTTAATTAAATAATATTTTTAACTCTCTTTACATTTTATTTAATTTTAATTGTATCTTATTCATTATTTTATTTATTATTATTTTCACCCTCCTAAAAGCCGTTTTATAGGTAGTGACGCACCGAGGGGATGCGAAGGGGCGACTGCCACCGGCTTCTGATCGGGGGGGGGAGAGAAGTCTTCAAACAACCTTTAGTTTTTAAATACAAGTGCCTAGATACAGGAATATAAAACAGTCCCTAACTTATTGGTAAATAAATCAGTTAAGTTATATATATGGCGCTAAATTCTTTTTTTTAACAGTGTGTGTTTTAGTTGCTTTTTTTCGAGAGAAGTTTTTCACAGTTGGATTTGATTAAAAGCTATCTTCGATCAACAATGAACCAAGTAAGACAATATGGTTAGGCAATTCTTTTCCCATTTAAAATGTATCAGCTGAAAACAATAATTTCAATCCTAACTAATATTATAAATGCTAACGTGAGTTTGATTGTGCGTTTGTTTGTTACGCTTTCATGCATTAATTACTTAACCGATCATCATGAAATTTTCTATATTGTAGGCTATAAAATGTCTTCGTACGACTTTAATTAGCCGAGATATTAATTAAAAACTACTTTTACCCTACATTTTTCACTTACTTTGTTGGATTTTTTCCCTATTAAAGGGATTTGGCTCTGCGCCAATTATTTTTTCACATATATTAGAAAAAATTTTGCGGACGTAGACAAACTTTTACATCGTTTAACTTATCGTTATGAAACTTTCAACATTTAATGTTTATAAACTACAATCATTTTAAGCTACAAAACAGGAGCATAATGTGTACCACGTACTTAATGACCGTAGCTTAAATTTAACAAATTACTTACATTTTAATTTTGCTATACTTTTACATCGTTTAATATAAAATACTACAATTTTTACAGCAACATCTGTTAATTGACATCTGCTAACTGTTTAGGAAACTACGAACGTCATACTGCACTTAGTATTACTCCTGTCACACGTTAGAGTTCACTGATGTGATAAGAGTAGGTCTTCCCACAGAGAAATGTTTATAGTGTTACAATTGAAGAAAGAACGGTTATGATTATTTAAAATCGCATTTTTCTGTGAAATACTGTTATTGTTTTTATTTTTCGAACAATTAGTAGAAGTAGTTTTTTTTTCCTAGTCTTAATAATTCCTTGTTTCCGAAATCCTTTTAATTATTTAATTTTAATCAAATAAATGTTAATTATATCGTAAAGTATTTCTCCCGCCTTCCTAGAGGGACTTCGTAGTGTAGTGGTCAGCACACTCAGCCGGTGTTTCAGAGGTCCGTGGTTCAATTCCCGCCGAAGAAAATTGCTCATTTTTCATGTCTTCGTCTTAACCTAATGTCTCTACAACATATTTGTGTTGATGCTTTGTTTGGTAATCATAGCGCTTCGGCCTCGATTGCTACTAGTCCGTCAATGTCTAGAGTCGCGTCAGTTTGAAATTTAATGTGCTTCTTGAAAAACATATAGAATATAAGAAAAGACCTTGCCACAGGCTACATACCCGTTGGCCATATTTGGCAAATATGCGGGTCTGAATAGCGCATCGTCTCACCATCGGCCGAACGGTAAAGTCGTGGAATTCTGATAGTTTGACTAATCCCAGCGAACGGGCTGGCTGCATGTTTGGTTTGCGTGATTTTCCCATCTGCAACGCGAATATGAGCCAGTTACCCTTAAAAAGTCCGTCAGGAAGGCATCCCTTCCCATAGGTAAATAGCCCACGAACTGCTTTGCCTTGATCAATTAACCTAACCTAATCTGAATAACGCACGCACGAGGTCTTGAATGTCAGTGGGAGGCACTAACTTCCGCTATGTGAAACATGATAGAAAAAATATTATACGTTTATCCGGAAGGCAAAATTAATTTAAAATAATAAGTGTGTCATCATTATTTGATTGCGGTTTGATCAATTGTTGCATTAATTAATTGAATAATAATTGTAATATTATGTAACTCGTTGAAGATAATCCTGATAATTAAAAGCTATTGTTATTGGCCAGTATAAAAACTATAAGATTTTTATAACTATATAATTATTGTATCATGCTCACGCAGGTATATAATGTTTATAAAATTTATTTTCTTGGACAAATGTTCCATTTCTTTTTTTCACATAATTATATTTTCAAAAACAAAATTTTAAATTTTATTATAGTATTAATTGTAATATATATCAAATTTTCAATTAAATAAAAAAAATGACTATCAGAAACGTGATAAATGTCTATAAAAGTAGCTTTTAAAGATATTTAAAATTTTCAGCCTTCTTTATAAATAACGCTGAAATATATAATAAATTTAATGAATTTTACTAAGAAATTCATTTATTGCTTTTACATATCTCAGTTATTAAGCACTACCATCATTATTTAAAAATAATGTCGAATAGCAATATTATGGCTGTTTGCCAGGTCGCATTGAAGATAAATCAAATTCTTTACGTATTGTGAACTGCAACATTTATCAGGTCACGTGGATGATAAATGACATGATATTTTGCGCGGATGATTACCGTCTGCTGACGTAATATAACGGCCAAAACAAAATGTAAATACTTCGCCAGCTCTTCTTCCCTGAGTCCATTTTTATCTCCTAAGAAAATGCCTCTTTTTGTTTACTTTAGATTCGACTGTGTATTTTAAGCTACTAAATTAAGAGAAAACTCCTATGTTTACTCACATTAACAAAACAAATGGTAAACATTCATAGCAAATGTTTGGATATTTAATTTCTGTAAACATATCAATTATGAAATACCAACGTACTATCCACGGAAAAGTCAACAGTGTCGCCAAAAGTAATTTCTTACCGTGCATAATAGTTTCGAAGACTGAGAATGCGAATAAATGTGTAAATGGCTATCAAAATAATTAAGAAGCATTAAAAATAATAATTTTAAGAAATTTGCACCAAGAGAGTGTGCCATTAAAATTTTCGAAAATTCAAAGATATAGAAATTCGTAATTTTTTTTTTTAATTGCAATCTGATTGCCGTATTTAAGTCCCAGTTTAGTACCTGGAACACTCTTAAACTAAAAATTGAAATAAGCTCATTATAGTATGTTAATTTAGAATAGGAAATACAAGGTCACTTTATATTCCTTTTCGGCTTGCCTCGTATTCAGGGTAACGACTGCTGCAAAAGGTAGTCGAGTCTCCTAATTGGCTAATAGCCCTTATCCTTGCTGTGCGATGATAACGACACACATTAAAATTGCAAATGAAAGGAGGGCTGTTACGACCTTGAAATGCCTGTTTAAAAATGAATTCCCAGAATTGTATAATCAGGACTTAAAATCATGTATTTCTAGGGGCGTAGCTAGAGGGGGGCATCTGTCCCCGGGCGCAGAATCCAAGGGGCGCCAAACTGATGTTACGACATTTTAGAATTAAATGTTTTCCATCCTTGGCAAGCAGTAAGGGGCGCGAAATCTTCAGTTGTCCCTGGGCGCTGAAAACCCTAGCTACGACTCTGTGTATTTCAAACAAGTTATTCAAAACAGCAATGCCAAATCATACGGGAAAGATTTATTAGCGACATTTTGTGCCGAGTCGCTAAAACGGTTGAATCACTTTTCAAACTGTTGCCACCAAATTCTATTATGTTAAAGAAATTAAATAATGAAGAATTTGTATGAATGTATGCATGTTTCTCGCATTGCAAAAAAACAGTGGTAATTAGTCACCAAATTTTGAATAACGTAGTCCTCCACCCGAATATGCATACCTGCAAACCCGAATTTTGAATTTCGAATTTGTTTTATTATCTATTTCATATTTTGTAAACTTAAAAGAATTTTTGATTAAAAAAAACTCAACGATTTCAAAGCAAGCAGTAGCAACACTGTACGGAATAAAAGATTTTTTTATCTCCAGCGCGCGCGACTGTCTATCCGAAAGATGGTAAGTTCTAATGATATGTCTTTTTAAATATTTTAGCCCAAAGAGGCGCTAGCTCAAATGCTTTTCGAATGTGTGTGCAAATGAAAGAAACATCCCTTTGTAATATATATCTGAAAAACTTTGAAGTTTTTTTAATTCAGTTTTTTTTTTAAATTTTCAATATTCCTTCAAAATAGCTTTGCGTAGTAATTTTACCAAAAAAAAAAAAAAAAAAAACGCTCATGTTTAAACGGCATTAAAGTAGCTAGAGGTTTTTGAATCATTTGGTAAAAATTCTTTAAACAAAATTACTATTTTAAACCAATTTAATTTTATTAAATTCGGCTACTGCATTCAAAAATATGATGACAGTCAGAGATTGTATTATATAAATTGTATTCAAAACATAAGTTCGCTTATTAATTCAAAAACAAGAAAATTCGTTATTTCTCTTCTTTATAAAGACATAAATTAGGCAAGAGAAATTATTCATTCCCCAATTGAAAATAGTTTTAAAGAGCTGCCAAAAGATGGCACCACCAATCACAAATGGTTTTTCGCGCAAAGCTAACATAGCGAATTTTGTTTTAAAGTCCTAAAATAAATAATTGCTGAATTTGGTTTCAAATTAAAAAAAATATCAGGTACTATTGAGCATTTGTCTGCTTGATTTTTTTTTTTAGTTTTAATTAATGATTGATAAAATTTCTAAATGTAATTAGACGTATGGCAACGACATGCTTCAAACTGTCATGGCTGCTTCAATGCAATTATTTATACATGTTACCAAAAAATTGTAGTACGTAGTTAATTGTTTCTATGACTTCTAAGTGGAAAAAGGTATTGTACGAGAAACAAGATGTTCCGGATAACTACGTAGACGAATCTTTCTTATCTGATCTCCGAAAAAATGTAAATTTATATAAGTATACGTGGGGGGAAGCATTTACCGGTGTTTGTGCAGTTACACATGAAGTGAGCTCTACAGTACTGTTTGTTGTGGCTTTCATCTTTTTGAAAGATGAATCATGTTCGATTGCAGTGATACTTGTCAGCGTAGCCATGTTGATAATCATTAGCTTTATAATTCATCAGATCACATGTGAATTAGATAATAGATGGAAATTTAAAAACATTCCCTTCTCTGAATACCTTAAAAGTTGTGTTATTTTTTTTACTTTTGGCTACATGTTTTCGCCCATTCTTAAAGCTTTAACAGAAACAATAAGTACAGATACTATTTACGCTATGGTTACACTTATGATGTTGACTCATGTATTGTTTCAAGATTATGGTGCTGAAGCTGCTATAGTATCCCAAAGTTTATCACTTAATTCGGCATTATTCGCTGCAGTGTGTCTGTCATCAAGATTGCCTACTGTTATGCGTACATTTGCTCTTGTGATATTAGCTGTTATGGTTTTTGTGGTTCTACCTTTGTTGAGACACAGATTTCAGAAAAATATTTCTGGCTTTCTTATAATAACTGGAATTTTCATAATTACTGTTTTGATTGCCTTATTTTACATTTCAACCACATATGCTGTACTATTTGTGCTTTTGTGTTTCTCGGTTAATGTAATATTTCCAACATTGTTTGTTCATTGCCAGAAATATAAAGAAAATATATTTGGCCCGTGGGACGAAGCTGTCGTGAAACAACATCAGAGTATATCTCATGAATATAAGTCATGAATAGAAAAAGCATCATAGTAGTTTTGTGACTTTGATCGTATTAAAATTATACTTTTATTATTTATTCAAAGATTTTCCAGTATGGTTAATACAGGATTTTGTAAAAAAATTGTATTTCTGGACCTCTCCTGTTTGTTCATTTGTTTCCATTGCCAAATGCTTCATTTGATCAGGTTTGTTAATTATGTATGTTATTAAATTATATATACTAAGTATGTACATTTTTATTACATATAAACATGTATGGGCATACCAGTGGCTCAATGGATAACTAAAAGCTAATAATTCAATCTGGATGTAAATCTTGCTAAATGAGCTGTACTAGTGATCAACCTAATTTGAGACTTTAGGTACTATAATAAAGCACGCATAGACTATAGTTCTGCATTTAAAGAAATCGTAGGTACTCTTCTGTTATCAGGACCAAATTCAGAAATGTATGTATATACATGTGTGTATACATACATTTCTGAATCTGGTCATGATAACAGAAGAGTATCAAATCGTACTTTAAAAATTAGGAAGCACTTCTGCAGAGAATCCGGTAAATGTAAACAGGCGATAAATAGTTCAAGCCTGGTAACCTAGTGGATTCATCCTATTAGCTTGTTCAAAGGTTGCAACCATTCCTCTTATGTTCATTTTGTTGAATTATCACTGTAGTTGTTCGCATTTGGAGATTTATATTATACTTCTCTTATTTATTATTATTTTTTCTGATTTTCCACATTATTTTTTCTAACAATGAGTAGATAGAAAAATATAGGATAGATTGAAATATAAATATTGTTAGACAAATAGAATAGAATGAAAAAAATTAAATGATAGATTATGTTGCAGCCACTGTTTTATGTAAAAATGTATTAATATATCATATCAATCATCCAGTGACCAATAGAAAGGCATCACCTTTTTTTTTTTTTTTTTTTTTTTTTCATTATTGGTGAAACTGCAATAATTACAACTTCACTTTCATTTTCGCTGAGAAAAACCAATGAAGCACTTCTTCACTCACTGACCAAAAGATATGAAAGCAATTATCATAGCATCTTAGCATATGTGCTTAATTTCCAATCTTATAAAGCTGAAAATCTTCTATATAATTCAGCTAAGATTATCATTAGAAGTGTTTTTATCAGATTATGGAAGTATTTTTTCAATAAATCTTGTATGAATGTGTTACTTTTACAGCTGATTTGTCTTAGATTTCTATGACAAGCATAAACCATACTAAAATCTGAAATGAATAGATCTGGGGGAGGAAAATGATGAAAAATCATATGCAAATGAAATGACATGATAACTGTAATATATAGAAAAGTTCGCAGAATCTTTTTACAGAATGAAGTTCTTACTGTGCAAAATGTGTCAGTTTTTAATCATGATGAAGCTGCTTTGCCAAATAAAATTCGATTCACACTCTGGGACAAATGATTTAGGGTTCACAAATAAAAAACGAATATGCCAATCAGTTTTTAAGCATGACAATATTCAAAAAAAACACAAATATCTGAAAGAGATAAAAAAAAAATATTGTGCACCAGATAGATCAGATTATCATATTGATGACTTGTGGGTAAATTGTGGGCATACGAAAACAAAAATTTAGATCTTTAAGGGTGAGCAGGTTTGCTTGCTTCCTCTGGAAAAGATTCTTGATGTATTATACTTGTACATGCTGTTAATATGGATGAAATATTCCTAAAGCATGCAATAAGAAATTTAAAGGAGATTACTATGGGAAAATGAACACAGAATATTAATAAAATTGTTATGTTAAAAGATTGCTGCCTAACTTAGAAACTAACAGCATAATTGTGTTAAATACTGCATTTTTTCATAGCATTTTTGTGCTAAAAAAATTCCTTCTTCAAGTACAAGGAAAGCAGACATTCAGTTCCAGTTGACGGGAATAAATATGTCTAAAACTGGTATCTTGAGGAACTAAAAGTTCTGCTTTCAGCACTTTCAAAAGCTCTGTTTCTGCTACTTTCACAAGCAAATCTGTGCTGGTCTCTGGTAGCTGAAAGCAAAACTTTCTAATGTTCAAAGCCCTACCAGTGGCCAAGTGGTTCTGAATACTGATAGTCTGACTTAGATTTGAACCCAGGTGAATGGGCTGGCTGCATGGTTATAGTTTTGCCCATGTGAGATGTGAATATGAGACAGTTTCCCTTAGAAAGTCCTCCCTCAGGCAAATAGCTTTTGTGATACTCAAATCACCAAACCTAGCATAAACTCTAATGTTCAAAAACAATTTAAATTCCATCATATTAATGCTTTAGCTGCTAAACATGGACATATTGTGCTTTGTTTGCCACCATATATCATCGTGAATTAAATCAAAATAAACTCAGTAGTGTGGAAGCATATGAAACATCAAAAAATATAACTTTTTAAAAAGGATCCATATATTAATTGAAAAAGAATTGATTTGATAACTCCTTACCAGTGGACTAAATACATGACACAAATAATAGCAGAAGAAAGGAAAATGTGGAAATTAGATTGCCTATTGCAGAATGTGTGAAATGTAATATTGATAAATCAGATAGTTTAGATTATCTGATAATAATCTTGCTGAAGTTAAATACCTTTGTTTAAAAAAAAAGCCCTTTTCAGGGCCACAAATTAAGAAACAGCAGAACCATACACAATTATAACTAATTTGACATCTCTTAGAAAATCTAATATAGAAGACTTTAAATTAAATATGGTAAAGAGAGCAAGGATTTCTGTTCAAAGTGAGAGATGCTTTCATGGAGGACTTTAAGGTAGGGATTCTCAATCAAAGGGGTATTTCATAGTTTCATGGAGTTGGAATGCAGTCAGCTTTTCATTTAGTTGTTAGTAAAACATGTAAAAAGATCATCTAATTTTAGATGAATATATATGTTTATTTTTCGAGTTTTGAAAGGAAGGGGAGCATGGGGCAGAAAAAGGTTGAAAAGGACTGTTTTTGTATAATACATTGCAAAACTCTGAAGCAGTAATTGGAAATGAGCCTGCTGCATACAGTGTTTTACAGCTTTATCACTGATACAGTACACTACAGCTATCTCTTTTTAATCAAAAAAAAAAAAAAAAAAGATAGCTGTAGCACACTTTTGTATGCAGTTACATATATGTGTCAGTCAAGTGTGGCTATGCAGCTGAAGACTATTTATGTAAGGGAATGTGCTTGTGGAACTACCAGTGTTTGCATCTTCTATGCACATAAACAATACTCATAGTCCTTCATTTGATAAAGCATAAGAGCTTTAATTATTTTTAAATACAATCAACAAGTTATTAATTGATAAACTGCGGTAAATACACTTCTTAATAATTTAAATCTTTATTTTTACCTTTTTAACAATGAATCCAATTGATATAATTTATGTAATTTATGCATTGTTACAATGTAATTTAAATTCAAAAGCATACTCTTTTTGATTTTAAATAAGTGTACTCGGTTGATCTTTAGATTATGGTAACTTGGCGATTTTTTTGGCGACCAACTCTCCTACAGCAACCCTCTCTTTTTTTTTTCCTGCCGCCATTTTGTCTTCACGAAGTAAAGACATGTTTCTTAATTAACTCTTATCTACTGAACACTTCTTCCAACAATCTACTAGCCGAATTACACTTATGCTAGAAATTTTATCTAACAAAACTGCTTAATCATGACAAATATTCACTGCAAAATTGGGAAAAAGTGCACAATACCATACTCCTTACGCGTTTTTCAAAATAACACATACACATAAACCATGTACACGTCGACTTATTTTTACGTAAAAAAAAATCCCAGAATTACACAAAAATGGCATTGCGCACACTCTTCACTATATCCATGTACACTGCTTTTCTCTCATAAATTAGAAAAATTTCACGAAAATGCATGACAATTTTCTGAATCTTTAAACCCGGTAAAAAGAACATATATGAAATTACCTGATCGCGAAAAAGTATATACCCTTTCCAAATATGAACATTTCCACATATAAAATAAATAAAATATCCAAAAACTTTTACCTCTAAATCATCTATTATATTATAAACGTCACCAACGAATTCATACTGCAAGCATTACAAATACTTAGTGTCAAATATTTAAATTATTTCCATGCACGTTTACTTCAACTAAAACGTATACCAAATTCCTACAAACATAAAATTCACAAAATAACTATCATTTAATTAAAATATCACTAAACCATGTACACGTCGTTTTTCAAAAAAAAAATCCCAGAATCGCACAAAAAATTACTTCATGTAACAAAAAATCCCTTTTGGCAGGCATTGCGCACACTCTTCACCACAATCCATGTACACTGCTTTTTTCTCATAAATTAGAAAAATTTCACGAAAATGCATGACAATTTTCTGAATCTTTAAACCCGTTAAAAAGAACATATATGAAATTACCTAATAACGAAAGAGTATATACCCTTTCCAAATATGAACATTTCCATGTATAAAATAAATAAAATATTCAAAAACTTTTACCTCTAAATCATCTATTATATTATAAACGTCACCAATGAATTCATACCGCAAGCATTACAAATACTTAGTGTCAAATATTTAAATTATTTCCATGCACGTTTACTTCAACTAAAACGTATACCAAATTCCTACAAACATAAAATTCACAAAATAACTATCATTTAATTAAAATATAATTAAATTCAAAAACACTACTTAAAATATAAATAAGCACATACATTAAATTAATAAAAAATTACCTTACAATCCTAATTACTTTAAACTAAATCATTGCTAATAACAATTTTCCCAATAATACCAAATTACTTTACTTCCACCTTACATTTAGAACAATGCATAAAAATAATATCCTCAAATAATTCAAAATACTAACTTACCTAATCTTCTTCAGAATCTTGCTTACGTGGTGGCATACACTTTTATTATGGATTCAATAAAATTATTGAAACGATTTTTTCTGTGAATTTTTCCTCCACACTTCCTCCGCTAAATAAAAAGCAAAATTCTCTATCACAATGCCTCGGAATGGCGCTTTTTATAGCACTCCACGTGCCCTCTATTGTATTGGTATGTGCACCTGTTTCCGAATCTTTAAAATAATATTTGTGGTTCACAGCAAGATGTTTAAAACCTTCATCTTCCAAACATTCATACGATTTCCAGCAATCTGAAATAATTATAGTACCCGGTAGAATATATTCTTTTTTAAAACTTAATAAACAATCTTTACTTCTATCTTGCACAACCTTAAAAAAACATTTATTACTACCCCTTTCAATCCCACCAAACACCCATTTTCCCTCCACTCTCCTACCTCTCTGATACTTCCGCTTCCCAAACTTACTCTCATCAATTTCCACAATAACATTCATACCACCAAGCATACCCATATCATTTTCGCAAAATTCCACGCACACTTCCCTACAAAAAGAATTCCAATCAGCTGCAGTCCTACTGCTAATTTCTAAATCCGAAATCCAATAGTCAACTGGCAATCTATTCACCCAATAATAAGAAAGCAATAAAATCTCACCCATACTCAAACGACTTTCAGCAAACCACGTACCCTTCCTTACATTCCGTTTCACAAAATGTCCATTTTCACCAGATTTCTTGCACCGCCATTCAAACTTATCAGTAATATCCTTCCTTTCACACAATCTCATTTCATTCCCACATTTTGGACATTCATACTTATCCGCAATTAAACCTACACTCGTGCACCATTCAACCAATTCTTTTGAATTATCACACAAACGAATTAAAAATCTAGAATTCACTTTAGACTGCGCCATACAATCCCAAAATTATTCAACCCTACTTCACACAACACACAATGAAGCTTAATACAAAATAATATACAGCCACAGATATTTTTCCAAATTCCCCCCTTTTCCGATTAAAGAACCGTAAATCGTCCATTAATATCACATGACATATCCCATGATCTCTCATTTCCCTCACACAAAATAATGCGTAATCGGAACTGAGTACTGCTCACATTATTACCAAAGTCCCAGGTACCTTTATCGCCTCCAAAATGTCGCCAAACTACCAGTTACCATATTCTAAAGATCAGCCGTGTACTCTGTTTGCGATTTAAAAGCAATAAATGTATGTGCAATAATTTAAAAGTTTATTTATTATTAATAATGCAGTTAACTGATTGATAAAAATCTTATGAACATTTGTGCTTTGTTGTAATTAATAAAATAAATTTCTAATGTTATTTAAACAGTATAGAAACATCTATTTTGTAATTTTTATGCATGTTTCATAGTTTTTAATGTGTTTAATATTTTTTTATATCTTAACATTTTTAAGGGTAAAGTCTTTTATGAATTATTAAATTGCAGTCTGAATTTCTCAGTTTATTTTATTTGTGTTTTCATCTGTTCTTATCATTAATTTTAAACAGGACAAGAGGTACTGCAGAAGATTGCTTGTCTGAGCATTATTGGAAGGGTATGTAACTTAAAAAGAGGCAGTTGATGCAAGACATAATTTTTAGAATGAAAAATTTAATTTTTATAATGTTTGCTATAAAATGGAGTTTCACTTTTTTAACAATCTCAAATTAAAATCTAACCAATGTGTTTAGAAATAAAAAATGTAAAGTTTTGCTTTGGTTCACCTTTTTCAAAACTGCAAACTTATTAAACTCTTACAAATTAGGAGAAAATAACTTATTTTACTAAATTTATGTAGTATCACATGTAGTTAAATGAACATTAAAAAAGGAGTGGGTGTGATTTTTTTTAACCTAAATTAACAATTGTTAATTCTTTCATTTCAAGTTGGATTTAGTTTTTAAATGCTATCAAATTTGTATATGTTATATTTAGAGAGGTGAAAAATCCCATGCAAATTAAGGAAACGGGAAGCATGTTATTTGCCCTACCACCAAGTGCATTAAATAAAAATATTATTAATTAAATACACCAAATTCAGCAAGAAGTTACCAAATGTGCAGCGAATTGAAAAAAAATCGGACATCCATGGGCAAGTCGGCACACTTTAAAAACAGAGTGAAAAGGTATTTCTAATGTATTCGAGATATAAGCCCTTTGAACAAAAGCCACTAATCCTTGACAGCTAGCCATCATATACTTTGGTATAATAAAAGCCAGCTAACCAATCTGTCAAAATCACCACACTACACTTTTCTTTGTTTTCTTTTTGTTTGTTGTGCGAGGCAAAATTTGTGAATACAAAACTTTGTGATAGTAATATTATAATAAAAAACAGCTTGAAAATATTCTTAAATTTAAAAAGCACTGTAAGAATAAATAAAAGCCTACTAGTAATTATAAATAATTAAGTATAGAATGTTTCATACTGAATGGAACAACAAGAAAGCAAACCTGTGAATGCTGTAACTATTTCACTTCCATAAATTAAATTTACAGTAAAACTATAGTTGTCCAAGTTTCTATAGATGTTCTATGTGTTTATATATGTTGTTTACTGTGTATTCCAGTTCTTGCCACACTTGTGATAGAATAGCCTTTGTTACTGATTCAAGAACTTCTGATGTCATTATTCCCTGGGGAAATGAACACTTTAACAAAACCCCATGGGAAAAAATAATAAGGGGTTAGATTTGGGGATCTAGGTGGCCAACAATGCAGTGGTAAATCATTTGATGCAGCATGGCCAATCCAGTGATTATGCATATAAATATATATACAGTACACTCCCGATTATCCACGGAATTGAGTGGCGCGGCCGCCGCGGATAACAAAAATCGCGGATAATCCAAAAAAAAGCTAGAAACAGGTATAGCAAAAGAAAGAACATTCATTTCAACTTTGAAAAATCGTTTTATATACAATAAAACATAAAATAAACAGCAGAAAGTGTTTAACTAACGCGCAATATTTTAGTATATCACTGAAAACTAACCTAAAATGCGTTTTGTTAATGAAAACCTCTCATAAGTAAACAAAGTGCTTTGTATACTTATGAGAGGCATCAAGGATACACAGAAAAATTAATACATATGTACTGTTTTAATACTGTAATGTATTATGTAATTACAAAAGCATAACTGTAAAACTACACCTTTCTGAAGAAATCAGTCATTTGTGTTTGCTTCTTGCTTTGGAAACATTTTCTCTTGATCCGAGATTGCATTTTTCGTAGCATAAATTTCTCGGCCAACTCCGCGTCATCTTGTTCTTCCAAATAGCTCAGCAATCCATTGACTTGTTGCAAAGCCGCTTCGTGAGTCTTCCGCATCTGCACAGTGGGCTCTTCTTCGCCTTCACTTTGCTGTCCTTCATTCTCGGTCTCTCCCCTTGCTTTCTTCACAATTTCGTCATCTGTCAAGCGTTCGAAGCCAGGTTCGTTGACGGCACACTCCAACCACTCGTTAATGTTTTCAGCATCGACGTTCTCACCATACCGCCAAGAATTGCCGTGGGCGTGTCTACATCTTCATTCTCTTCTTCACAACTCAAAGGGTTTTCTCCATGATTTTATGAGGGTTGACAGTTTGACTGAGTCCCATGCAGATGCAATATCGTAGATGCTGCCCAAGATTGTGTAGTGTTTCCAAAACTCTTTCAGATCATAACCTTCTTCAATTTTGGTCATTAGCAGCTTGGTTCCATATGTTCTCTTCATTGTTGCAATGACTCCTTGTTCCATGGGTTGGATTAACGCAGTAACGTTTAGGGGGAGAAACTTTGCAAAAATTTGTCCATCAGAAGACTTTAGCACGCTTGTTGCTGGGTGAGAACCCAGCAACAAGTGAGTTCAAGCATGCTAAAGATGCGTTGTCGATCAATAGCACAGCTTTTTCGGGCAGGTTTTTCAATTTAAGGTGTTATGCACTTGAAGAACAAAGATGTTTTCGAACCGTTCTTGAAAAATGTTTCGGTTCATCTATCCTCTTTTTTGGTTAAAGTAATCAACGCGCAAATTTTCTATCCTTGTGCCTTTGAAAGATCTCGGTTTCTTTTACTTTCCAATGACAACAAGTCTAAGTTTATGTCCACCGGTAGCGTTACTGCAAGACATGATGGTGATCCTTTCCTTGCTGGTTTTACGACCCGCCGCTTTACTTTTATTTTCAAATGCTAAAGTGCGAGTGGAAAGACATTTCCACAAAAGTCCCAATTCGTCGGCATTGTAAATTTGTTCAAAAGATAGCTCTTCTTTTAAAACAAATTCTTCAAATTCATGGTGGAAATCATCGGCTGCTTGTTGGTCATAACTAAGTTTCTCCCTATGAAGTCCAATTTCTCGAATTCTGTGTCGCTGCTTAAAACAAGTCAACTAGCCAGAAGACGCATCAAAATTTCCTTTCAGGCCTAACAACTCAAAAAAGGTTTTTGCTTTCGCCGCAAAGATAGGACTATTTACAGCACTATTTACCCTCTTTTCAAACTTGAGCTAACCACTCTGTCGTGCCGTGTCTAGCTCATCAAAGGTAGAGCCCTTCATAGTTTTTCGCGTTTTCATTTTGGAAGCACTGTTCGACATTGATGCAAAGTTCACCAGTTTGTCTTTTTGCTTTAGAATGTCACGCACTGTTGTTTCCGTGATTCCATAATCCAATTCCATCTGCTGCCTTGTAGCGCTGTTTGCTACTTTGAAAATTAATTCTAGTTTTTGCGCAATCGTCAACACAACCTTCTTTTGTTTTCCTGACATTTTAAATCGATAACAAAAAACACAAAAACCAAAAAGCACAAGCACTGAACACAATAAAAGATAGGAAATTAACTCGGACCGGTTCGCAAACACCATCAGGCTTAAACTAACAATGGCAAGTGGAAGGAAGTGGACGTGTCAGTAAGATTAACACGATAGAGGGTGGTGGAGTGGGCACTGCAAGGATGGGGGCCGAGGGGAAGGTTCCGAGAAGGCCTGGGATATTTTTGCCATGAATAAGCATGATGTTAGCAAATTCAACGTTTCGTTCAGTTTTGTGAACATTTTTCTTTTCTTTGCTTTACGCTTGTAAAAAAAAAAAAAAAAAAACTTTGTGCGGCAGGCGCGGATAATCGGGAGTCTACTGTATATATTACATATATTTATATATATGGATATATACACTAATGTTTGTGAAAAATACAACACCATGAAGGAATTGTTGGAAGTGAATGAAATGTATTCCACATAATACTGATAGTGATACAAATAAACATCAAATTTATCAAAAAAAACACCAGAAATCAGTACTTTGTGTGTCCACCACATTAAACGATGAGAACCTGTACAAATAGTGGGATTGAATCATACAGATTCTGAATATAATCCTGGGGAATGACATTTCATAAGGCCAGAGTTCAGCTTTAGTGTGTGCCCCACCAGCTGTTTAAGCGAGTTGCCAACTGATGACATACGAGACATGCTCGTTGGGCAACATATTCGGAAAAGAAGCGAAACCTGGTGTGCCCTAAAGAAGGCTTGTGCAGTCTGAGAAACGTGCATGGGCCTTATCCTATCTTGCTGAAATACAACACTCAGAATGTGTTGAAGAATGGAGAGGACCTCTGGCTCCATAACTTCTGTTATATCACTGTTGAGATTGCCTGCAATTTGGACTAGATGTGATATGCTAGGTGATAGTCTGACTAGGTATACTGATTATAGTCTGACTAGATGTTTGTATGGTATTACTATAGTCTGACTAGGTGTTTGTATGGTATGACGCTGGATAACACTCTGTGTGGGAACAGACATTCCCCTCTGTAGCATCTGACATGTAATCTTCCATCTTTGTACCTCAGATTGTAACGAGATTCATTGGAGGAAATAACTTGTTGCCACAGGGCACGTCATGCACTGTGTTGCCATGTCCATTGAAGTCTGAGATGTCTGTTGTTCAGCAACAGAGGAATCAAGCATAGAAGAACCCTTGCGCGCAGTTCATGCTGCAGCAGACGGCAACTAGCCATACAGTTAGATAGCACAACAGCTGTAACCGTGCTCCAATATTATGCTAACATACGAGAAAACACAGTACAATCTGTTACAACCATGTGTACGAGTGTCTGTTATCCAATGCCATTGTGATACTGTGTGCCCCACTGCCAGAATTTTTCCTTGTTTGGTTCTCCTCTGTCCATTTCTTCCAAATATACATCACTGTTGTGGAACTGTGCTGCATGCGTTCTGCAATTGCTCCATACGAAAGTCCACCCTCTCGCATACCGACAACACAGCCTCGTTCGAACCCCATTAGTTGTTGGTTATGGCATCCTCCACTGTTGACAAGGCATATTGACCACTAATTAAACACCCATCGCAGACAGAGTACGATGAACAGATTTCAGTGCAACTTTACAGTCCTTTATATACATGGAACAAGCAACCAGTTCTCATTCCACGCACATGTAATCACTTTGTAATTCTAATCATTTGCATGTCTTACCTCACTTTACATTTCCTGTAAGTTTGGTTCAATTTGCAGAATTCTGTCATGGTGCTGCAATTTTCATAAACATTAGTGTATAAATCAGCATTAACTTACAGCATTACACACATAACTCAAAATATTGGGGATCCCAAAAATCACTGCGGCATACCTTTGACTGCTGCTTTGATTCTGAATCATGATATCTAATCCAGAATTCTTTAATGGTGATTATTTTTTCAACAATTTAAGTTCCTTTTCCATTTGCTGGAAAACTGTTTAGTAGTATTAATACAGTGAATCATAGGTTCTTCACTTAGCGAATATGGTACCCATCTTATCCAACACAAGTTATTTCGAGGGGTTTTTTAATAGCATTTTTAAGACTAAATGCTAGTGTGGTAATTTGCCTCATTAAGTCTGACTGACAATTAATGAATGAATGTTTTTTTTTCAATCATATCTCTGCTTTCCTAATGTTTTTATCACTCACAGACGTTGATAGATTTACCATGTACTGTATGTGGTTTTTTTTTAAATTTTCATTATGTGAATATGGTCAGTCTGTCAATTTATTCTTCAATATACACATACACAATATACATGCTCATCTGAAATGCTTCTTGACCACTTATTGGCCATGTTATTTGAAGCAAAATTCAATAGTGATCTTTTCTCCGATAATCAAACACACATCCTAAGTGACCACTGTGATGTGCTGTAAAAGTCAAAATGCATAATTTGACTTTTACAGTAATCAGACAAACAATAACTATATTTAGCTTTACTCATATTAACAAACATAACATGGGCTATCTTCATAGGTGCCAGCCACATAACTAGTGCAGAGCTGTCAATTCATGAAACTTTCAGAATAGTATGTATGATGGGATTCTAGTTTCAGTGTGTAGGGATGGGATATGAATGTAAGGATTCTAGTTATAATTTTAAGTGGTCAATAAAAAGAAAAAGCTTAAATGTTTGTTTTACCATACAGATTTATATAGTACGTATTTCTTTTTTTCTTTTGTAACTGTATAGTTTGAAAAATATAGTGTAAATTTCAAATCAGTAATCTCACATCAATGTTATGCTGATGAAATGCTTCATGAAAACAGTAAATATATGTAGTTATTTAAAGTATTTAAGTACTTTATTAATTGCTGTGTGATAAATTCATATTTGATATTAAAATGATTTTGATTTACCTAAAATATAAATGCAAATTCTGTGTTAATATACCAATATACTTATAGAAGTTTATGAATGAAGTTACAAGCAAGAAAGACTGCATTCTTAATTTTTAATATGAAATTGGACATCAGCTTGGAATATTAAAAATGATCAGCTAATGAATTTTGAATATGAAAATTATTTAATGTAAATAAGTCATCACAATTCATTTCATAAATACCTGTTCAAATTCTAAAAATTTCGCTTTCCCTAAATTCTAAAAATTTTGCTGCTTAATGTTTCTCTAGATTCTAAAAATTTTATGCCTGGTGCAGCCACACCAGCTTTGTATAAGAGTTTATGGGGGAAGTTATTTATTTGGGACTCAGATAGGCCTTAAGTATATGCAGGAAATAGATGTAAGTATAACTATAATAATTCAGGCTCAACTTCCTCAGCACATGATAGAAGCCAAAAAAATACAGGGCAACAGCACATTTTTAGTCACCTGGCTCATGATATGATACATTGCTAATAGTGTATAGTAAATGCTAGCTAATCTTCATGATGATAGCCATGAATTTGAAAGTTTTCAAATATTGCAAACAAAAAGCAAAACTTTCTGGTTAATGAAATTTGTGAAGAAATGTAGAGAAGTAGTAAGAAGTGAAGTTAATATAAGAGAAGTTTTCCATTTGCAATGGCAATGCCCTAATTATCAATCAACTAACAGATGGCAAAATTTTTTGTTTCGTTCTGAATCCAGAAAATATGGTTGCTGTTAGTGAAGAAATTGACAGAGAGGTTACTTAGGATGGACTTGTTAGTTACTTGGATTTTGTGCTGTATGTACTTTACTACTAACACGATTTAGAAATATGTATTAGTTTTATTTTGTTAGTTAACAAAAAGATAATAGTCAAAACGCTGAACTATTAATATAATTATGCCATATGCATATAACATTGAAATTAAGAAAATACATTTCTAACATGAAAATCAGTATAGAAAAAAATGTTGGTATGTTTAATTTTCTCAAACTCTGATCTTTTATTTTTGAATGTTGAATCTGCTTTAAAGCATCAAAATTTAACAAAAATAAAATGGAAAATTAAACTAGAATAAATTTAGTGATATAATTTTTTACTTTTTTCTTTCCCAACTGATTAGAAAAGTATGGTTACATTCCTTTACTGCTAAACTGATTTCATTTTTCACAATAATTTCCATTTCATTTTAGAAAACACTTTATATACAGTTTTTCTGTAAAGTACAAATCTTTTACTTATTAGTTTTTGGATACAGTCTACTTGGTATTATTATTATTGGTTCAACAGTAGAATAACACAAGACTGAACTGATTGTATCTTAAACTGAATTTTTCTACTGAAATAATATTTGAGCTGTCTCTAATAATTAATATATATATATATAACTAAATAAGCCATGCCTTCATAATGCATAGAAAAATCAAATAGTTATCAATTCTGTAAAGAATTTTTACATAAAAGGAATAAATGAATAGCAATGAACTAATATTTGTTTACAAGTGAAATTGCTTTTCTTATTTTAATAAATACATGAGGCAACTGCTGCACTTTATGTTAATTACAAACATAATTGTTTTCCCTAAATTACAAAGTTTTTGCATTATTATCATGAATTACTAAAGTTCAGTTGTACATGGTCTAAGCCTTTGGCTTTATAAATTTTAATGTGAACATTGAGACTTCTGTAATATTTGTATTTAACAATGATTGTAAATAATATTGACTTGATCATATTTGAATATAAACAAATAGCTATTGAAACACATATTTTATCAATATCAAATATTTTCAGCTTACTTACAAAATTTGATATTTTTGAAGATATTTATATGTTTCTTATGTAAATATTGTTCTATTTGGCTTTATATTTATAATCTCTATGTTTCAAACTATTTTTTAAAAATTTATCATCAAGATTAAATTTTACAAAATATGCCGTAAAACTTAGAAATTCCTGAATTGCACTTATTTTTATCTTTCACTAAATTGTTTTCTTAGCAGATGGATTAGGTTAAGCTTTTTTTTATAACAACATAAAAATAAATGCTTTTGAATAAATGTTAATACATACATATCAGATTAATAATTCACATTATTTTCTTACTATGCAAATGCAATTTATGTCAAAATGTTTGTTAAATATAAATCACAACAATCAATGAAGTTACCATGTTTTCACCCCCTCCCTTAAATTCATTTGGAAAAATAAAAATACTTCATATGCTAGATGAATATGAACTAAAAAGTTTTGATCATGAAATTACTATCTAGACTAATTTTGAAGAATTAGAGAATTATGTCAATATATTAAAAAATTGAGGGAATATGTGTATGTGGGTCAGTGGGTATAATTAATAAAAAATGTCAAATGTTCAAACTTTGCGTACCTTTAAGCATTAAAGAAAAGACTGCAATAGATAATATTATAGTAGGAATTCCAAAATAAAGCATACATTCTCTAATTTAAGATTAATTTCACACTTTTCAAAAAGTACGTTGTACTTGAAAATCCTAATTTTCCTATTTTCAAATGAATGGATTAAAATAGGTAAATTTCCACTTTATCATTTAGCAGCAAGAAATAGCTATCAAAATACACCAAATTTACTCTTGCAATAAACAGTTTACATAGGAACTGAAGAGGCTGAATAAGATCATATTTTTAATGTCTTTGAAAGAGTTTTGATTAAAATGTTTGCTCCACTTTTTAATTAGCCCATAAAATTACATTTTAAAATTAATCATGTATGTTAGAAGATATCATTTGTTTAAAGTATGCCATATAAAAATAATTAATTTTTAATTACATAGTGAAAACTGAATATTTGACTACCTTCATCATATTTGATTAAACTGTACCAGTCAAAAATTTATTAGTTTTTAATTGTGTATTGAAGACAAAGTATTTGAATCATTTCACCATTATTATCTAAAGTGTCAATTCATAATTGTAATAAAAACTAACTTTCATGGTTTTATATAAATAAAATTAAGAGGCTTTAAACTAACAGGGTGAAGTTAGCATTTTTATTAAATTCTTCTAATCAGTGGGGAAAAAATTGGGCAGTTTTTAAAGAGGATTTAAAATTTATTCCTATATTTTCTCTTTAGATGTATTCATTCAACTTAGCTTGATATTAGAAATTGTAATGTAACAATAAAATATTGAATTAAAATAAATGTGACAGAAGTACTAAGAGCATGGAAATTCATTAAATTATGCTATGCATTCTGTGTAATTTTATATATGAATTATTAAATATTGCTGTTTTGCATTTTATATTTTATATATGAATGATGGTGTTATATGATCAGTTATGCTGCATATTTTATGCATGGTTTATTTATTTGCAAAAGAATTTAAAAAACTGTACCGTGGTAGCTTGGTATACATCATGTTTCAACATGAAAATTTTTAGTACATATGTTATCTGTTTGGATTACAGCTTGTGCTTGATGTTTCATGACAGCATACACTACCCTTGTTTACCTCTTTTGAGACAATGTTATGACTACTCATGAGCATTAGTAAGCCTGTTGCTACTATTCAGTACATAATTTGTGATATAACTTTGAATTTTCAAATCATTTTGTATTTTCTCATGTATATTTTTTATAAATATGTTAATAATACATTTTTAAAAAGTCAATGAGAAGTACCAAGCAATGAAGAAAATGGTTAGCATCACCATGTAGGTGAAAAAAAGATTGTTGAATAGTATGAAGATGACATGCATATCCGGGACTTTGCTATTGCATACTGTATGGCAAGAATAATTATGTACACTGTGCAAAAAAAAGATGAAAAAAATGGGTCAGTTCTATATCTCCCGTTCTATTGGGCCGATTGACGAAATTCAACTTGCATTTTTTATGCGTCGAAAGCGCGACTTAGGATATGTATTAGATTTATGTATACCATTTTTCTAATATAGGTATTTTGACACAAAATCGAACTTTTTTTTAAATAACATACCAATTTTTTTTTTTTTTTTTTTTTTTTTTTTTTTTCATATTTCAATTTTACGACTCAAATTATGCAAAACTACGAAGTTTTGTAAAAATCGCATGGGTAGTTTCTAAAAAATTAGCTCTCAAAATTTAGCTCCTCAATGTTAATTGAGTTTGGTATATATTTATTATTCTCTTTTTTTTTTCTATTAAGCTTATTTGATTTTTTCCATTCATATTTCAAAATTCAGGTTTTCATTCTGAATAAAATTCACCCATTTTTTTATTTATTTTTAAATAAATTTTATAAATTTTTAAAAAAAATTGAATTATAAAGTATAAAATTTTTATAATCATCTTAATGTAGACATATTTCTAAGCATACCTGCAAAAAATTAAAATTTTTTATTCGAAATTTCCGAAGATATATTTGAATTTATATATTGGTGCGTTTTGAAATTTGGCATATTACTTGAAAGTGATAAAACATCAGATGTGGTTTAAACACTTTGCTGAAATTATTTGGAAAGTAGAAATGATGTGAATTTTTTTCCATTCATGCACAATGTAAAAGGTAGGAAATATTTGTGTATGCCTTTTTTTCCGTTTTGCCATAATGGAAATTGGTTGCCATATATTAAGAAATTCGTCAAGTTCATTCTTGGCCAAACTGAAAAATTTTTGCCAAGATAAATTTTTGAATTTCTCTGTAAATTTTGCACCAAATTTTACAAAATTTAATACCTAAGCATAATTTGAGTTGTAGAGTCAAAATATGGAAAAAAATGGTATGTTATTTCAGAAAAAGTCTGATTTTGTGTCAAAATACCTATGTTAGAACAATGCTATATATAAATTTAATCTATACCCTAAGTCACGTTTTTGATACATGGAAAACGCAATTTGAATTTTGTCATTCGGCCCAGTAGAATGGGAGATATAGAACTGGCTCCCTTTTTTTTTTGCGCAGTGTATATGATTGTGGAAAATAAAGATATCATTAAATCGGCTAACATTGCTAGGGGGCTGAAATCGATTACCAAACAAAGATCGGAGACATTAGAGCATGTTGAAGAATTGTTTTTGATCTAAATAATAGAAAAGCATTTATATACTCTGTTCCATTTATGTATGGTATATATTTCATCCACTGCATTTCTATTTTAGTATTAAACATTTTTATAACAATAGATCTTTTCTTTTAAGAACAAACATTATTTTGCCTTTATTTCTTCTTGGAAAAGTTTGTTTTGTATATGTCTAAAGATATGAATGGATTAATGACATATACGAAGATACTACTGTATCTTGCAATTAACTTATTTATTGTTCATTAAAGCAAGTGAAAATTATTTTTTATGTTAAATTATAATTTATATTTCTTTATTTCATTGATCTGTACATGTATTTAATTAATTATTTAAGTGTTTATGAGGCTTTTATTAAAATATAGTATTGTCTGAAAGTTTATGATAATTTCATTTTTTAACTAATCTAAAACTTGTTATATTATGCTCTTTTCCTATAGATAATTCATATTCTAATTCCTTCAAAATATTTGTGTATGAAAACAAATATGTCAGATTAAAACTTAAGATACATAAAATTTTGATCCTTCCTTCTCTTAATTTTAAAGAGAAAATTAATTTTCAATTTAATAATTTTCAATTGAAAATTAAGATATTTTTCTCTTCTTATTTATTTTATCTATACAAACATTGAATAATAGAATTAGTTCAAACTAAGCTCAATGAAATAATATCTAATGTTTTAAATGAAATATGCAAAATTTAGATTTTGGGTGAAAAACCATACATTATTCTAAATTAGATACAAAAAAACCAGTGTAATTATTTACTTTTAAAAACATTTATGTAATCATTTAATTGAAACTATTTCTGGTTAATGTTTTCTTCATATTTTAAGTTTTATTTTTGTTTGGGGAGGAAGAGGCTCTGGGGAAGTAAAGAAGGAAAAAATACCTCAGTGTTGGATAAAACATTTTTAACCTTTATTTTTAATTTGTATTTTTAACATTTTACCTTTATTTTTCCAGATCCTGAATGTATTAGTGTTTCATTAAATGAACTATATTCTACTTCCTTGAAGAAAAGGAAGGTAAGAATGTATACATTTTTGAAACCGATGTTAATTTAAATCAGCCTAATCAGGCTTATACAAATAAATAGTTAATTATTAATTGATAATTAATTTTAATTATCATTTTAAAATTAATAATTTCTTTAGTTAATTAAAGATCTAAAGTATTACCAGTGTATAAAAATCTTAGAGTTTGCTTCATTTTCTACTAAATTAATATCAAAGCATAAGTAAATAATGAGAAATACCGGAAAGAAAATGGAATACAAAAGTAAAATACAAGCTACACGAAAGAATACCATATACTGTTTAATATCATTTACTTTGTTGCTCTGTTCAGCGTGGGTGTAGGGCTGCATAACATGGCTCAACATCATAGCAAGTATAATGTCTTTGCAGTCTGGGGGCACTTAACATACTATCAAGCTGAAAGACCATCTATAGTCTGGTAATTAGACAAGTGGGATAATAGACCTTTGGATCTGTCCTCGAAGATGTTTGCCATCAAAACTGAAATGGAACTGAGAAAACTAATACTGATACTGTCGCTTATGAGGTGTGTAAGACCTTTGCCATGATGAATTCATGGATCTGAAAATGCTTTTTTAGAAAAATAAATATCTTTATATTGCTTTTTTGAAAAGGACTGAACAGCATCTTAAAATTGTAAATTATACTTTTATAACTTGGCTACATAATTTGTATTTATCCTCTAAAATATGCAATATATTTATTAAAAAAAAACTTACCTCTACTCTGACTGTCAGATTGTATTGTTGGATTCTTTCATAGTCAAGAGGGTAATTGACTTGAATGTCAGCCCAGGTGTCACCATTTGAGGTCCTCTGGTCCAAATAAAAGGTGTCTTTTTTGTTTGTTTGCTCAGTGCTGCCCTTCATTAATGTATAAAATACTGTAGGATTATCTGGGATTCCGGATCTAAAAAAAAATTGAAAAGAAATTATATGTAGGTATTTCTTTTTTCTTGCTTTTTTTGGGGGGGAGAACATAACATATCCATTTATAATGAGAAAAAAATTTCAGTTTTGATATCATAATGTAAGGTTATAAAAATTCATATCTGTAATATGAAAAATGATAAATGCTAGACAAGGGATTCTTAACCAGTGGTACACAAAGAAACAAAGTATTTTTAGCTATTAAATTACAAAAATCTCGTGAAGAAAAAGAACAACTGATATAAATTTCCTGTGATCGAACTCTAACAAAACAACTTATTTCAAAAATAACACACTTGTTAACTTTTGAGTGAACCTGAAAAAAAAAAAAAAAAAAAGAATTTATAGGTGTTTTTAATAAAGCTATTAAATTTTTATTGCCTTTTTGCACAATCTACATGTGTGAACAAGGATTTTCTTCCATGTTTTATTTGAAAAATAAATACAAAACAAAATGAAAAACTAAAAAAAAAAAAAAATTGCAGTTAAAGCTAAGTGAAATAAGACCAGACATAAAGAAACTGATATGCCTTAAACAGGCACAAAATTTTAGAATTAAAGTATTATAACTTAAATTTTGATAATTAAAATGGTAACCGATTTTTAAGCTAATACTTTTTATGTGTGCATATTTAATATGAATAGCCAATAGGTTGTGCACATGCCAAAAAAAAATATATTTTTTAAAATTTCTATTGAAAAACTGAAAAATAATCATTGTAAAATGTAGTGGTGGTACTAAAGTTTTTCAAGTTTTGTTTAGACGGTATGTGTCAAAAGGCTGAGAACTGCTGGACAATGTTTCATAGCCTAACAACATATATTTTCAATATATTATGACCCACCTGCATTTAGTTGCAATTTTTTATAACCTGCATGCATCTAGTTTTTCTTGGGAGGGAGGTATGGAAAAAAGGAATTCAAAGAAGAAAATAATGTAGTTGGGAAGTAATGATAAATAAGTCTAAACCACTATTACAAATTAACTGATAACCATAAATTAACAATTAGTTTTTAATTACCTGTCACAAATTCATTGTTAATAAAATTAAACAATAAGAATAAAGCACTTTGAAACTTTACATGACCCATAAAACGTTAACCATTGGTGACTATAACCACATTTTTGGAACCATTGTGTTACATTGTTGATTGAAATTGAAACTTATAAATTGAACTATTGTTCATGAATTATTTTTGTATGATTTAGAATGCAAAACATTCTAAATACACAATTATCATATCAGGGTGATATTAGAAAATATCACCATGTGTTGTTAAGGGAAATTACTTAGTGTCGCCCCCTTTTTAATTATCAGTTTGTATGGTTTTCTATTCTAAATAATTTATTGTGTGTTAGTTATAGCTGATTTAGAAAGTGAACTTAAATTTCAATTAATTTTAAGATGAACAGATAATGCAAAGGCATCTTTTGCTTTAGGCACCTAATCTATTAATGTGATCTGCCATGATTAATTAGTCAGTCAATGATAAAAGGGATACGTATTTGAAGAAATTAATTTACATAATAAAAATTTAAAAAATTGCTATACTATGTATTTATATTTTAAAAAAATATTTTTAAAACATTACAAAATATGTGTTTCATATCTATATACTTAGCATAATAAAATCATGTCTTATTTTTATGAATATAAATGTTTGAAAACTGCATCTGGGAAAATTTAATAAAAACAGTGATAATTTTTATTAAAATATTCAAATAATGTAAAAATATTTATTCTATTAATATTTTGCATTAAATGGAGGATTGTACTTGTTTAAAAGCAATGCATGACTATGTTCAAGAAGAGGTATTGAAAAGCAAAGCAATACATGAAAAATACGTTCTAAAGTTTTGATATTTTCATATTAAATATTTTAATTTTTAAAGTTTCAGACCATTAAAATTAAATTTTAGATATATTCTTTTAAAGATTTGTCATTATTAATACTAATCAAATTTTCAAATGATTTATACATACCTAGCTTTTATTGAAGCTACAACTTGTCCAACCATATAATTTTCTTTTATAAAAATAGGTCCATAAACTGGTTGATCCCATATGGGTGGATTATTGGCACGATCAACAACATCAATGATTACTTCTACTGTGGCCCTGTGTTGAGGCATGCCTTTATCTAGGGCTATGGCACGAAGGTGATATTGATCTCTCTGAAATATTAGATAAAGATATTAATCTGGAGACCAATAATTCCTTAATGCATTTTCAAATTGTTATAAAATGTCTTGTTTCTGTTTTTTTTTTTTTTTTTAATTTTTTTTTAAATTTCATGGTTTTGATGTATGTTTTAAGTTTTAGTAATATGATGATGTATGTTTTAAGTTTTAGTAATTATTATTTAGTTTTAATAATAATTCTGTATAAAATTATTTCTAGACACAAGTAATTGGTTCAATTTTTTTTTTTTTTTTTTTAAGTAATTGCTTCAATTTTTGTTTTGAACTTAGATGTAATGTTAAGAGACATTTTTCAGAAACAAAAAATGCTTTTTAAAAGACTACTGTATTTCCCAATTGAAATTCCTTTAAAAAAACAATATGTTTCTTTTAAAATTCTAATTTAAAATTTTAAAGGCTTTAATAAGAACTAATAATTAAAAAATTCTTTAATTGAAATTTTATCTCAGATACTGAGTTTTATTAAAAAAAAAAAAAAAAAAAAGCTTTAACATTTTAGTTTTGTAATATTTTAGTTTTAATATCTGTTTAAAATGTGTTAACCCAAGTGCATATGTTGTTGTCGTTTTTGAAATTTTAATACTAAAAGATATAAATAATATTTCATAATGCTACTTTCGGAGAGGAGTGGCAAGTATGTTTGGTATGTTAACTGAAATCTTGTATAGTTAATTATCTTATGTTATACATTTCACTTCTAATTTGTATTTATTCGAAGAACATATTAATTCTCCATTTTTAGTGAGATGAATATTTTAATGACTTGTGAATAATAATTTACATTTTTAAGTACAAAATTATGACTATATGTGTTTTTCCCATTATTAAAAAATAAACTCTCTATAATTTGAAAACTATTCAGTTGCTAATTACATTCACAATAATTTCAGACAGTCATTTCTAGAATGTTTTTAATTGTTCCTGTATATATAAATATATTTCATTTAGATATTAGGTATTTTTAAAATTTTATATTTCATTTAAATGCATCTCCACTATTTTATATATGAATATTTTTGTTTTCACTTTCCTATTGGTTGGATTAATGAAGTTGTGTTTGGTGGCAGAAAAACTACTACTACTAGAATACAAGCTGTTAAATCGGTCAATGAGTTGGATTTTTTTTTAAAGTGTTTCAAGATTTTTTTATGTGATTTCCAAATTACTGGTAAAGATGATTCTGAAATTTCTTTCAGTGCTCTTAGGGTTTTGCAATAATATACTGTAAGCAATGGTTTTAATTTAAAGTCTTCATTAGGATTATTACTCAGGAGAAGTGTTAATCTTTTGCAACTTTACATTCTAAATAAGACCAGCAATATTGATACCACATGCAATTTTGGGAAATCTCAATTCTACCACATAATAATGAAACAGCGTTAAGCAGAGCAGCGTTAAGTGAAATTCTATTGTACATGAACATTATGTTTTGCAACTGATTCTAGTATAAATTGTATATGTTTATTTGTCAGAGGAACTCTTTTTTTTTTTTTTTTTTTTTTTTTTAATTCATTTTGAATTTTAAAAAAGCATTTTGTGTGTAGCATATTCAGAATGCTGCAATTAAATTCTTGAATTTTTTTTAATAGGCAAAAAGAGTAAAAACAAAAACTGCAGTTTGCATTTTTGTGAATTATATTTTGTTTACATCTGATTAAGTCAGGATTTAATACACGTGAGAAATTATAAGCATATGTACTGCATATGTTTTCATAACAGAAATATTAGAAAGATTAAAATAATTTGCATCATATAACTTGCATATTCATAAACATTTTTAGCTAGAATATGTTTCTAAAATTAGTACTCATATACAGAAAAATCGTATAGGGGTAGGAATACAGTTGCTATTGATGAAATATGATTTTTTTTAAAATGTACTTTTTAATGTATCTCTGAAATGATCTTATGATGACATTCCTGATGATGAGCATGAAAAGCATGAATGCATAATCATATATCTTTAAGTGGAATATAAAATTTAATATATAAATCTTAAAATCAGGTATCTAAATTAATTCTGCTGCAGTTAAAATTATTGATACTTTTAATGAAGTGTAATACTTTTTAAAAATATTGGATTAAAATATTAATTCTATTGAGAAATAAACAATTAAATAACTATCTTTTTCTTGTGGATTATACAATTTGATTGCATATATGAGGAGTACATTTTTAAAAATTGCAATATATCTGCCACTGTTTACTTCATAATTATGTCAATATGAGTTTTCTCAAAGCATAGAAAACTCATATTGACATGTTAAATACATCTGAATAGTTGCTAGCTTTTTAATGTATGAATTTTTTTTTATTATAGTCAAAAGTCTTTAATCTGGATTCGTCGGGACTTTGGCGATTCCGGATTATCGGTTTTTCCGGATTATAGATCATCAGTTTAAATCTGGTAGGATGGCATGCAGAAATTATAAAATTAAAAATATGAAACCATAATTTATGAAATAATGAGCAATTATGATCTAAAGGGTATAAAAATTTAAAAAAAAAAAAAAAATCTTTACATTTATTTGCATACTTTATTAAACATTTCTTTCAACACGCGCATGCATAAAGCATACATTACACATAGTCGAAATTAGAAAATTGCAATCAGAAAACTATTTGATGTGCATTTATGATATTTATAATGACGAGGAATTTGATTTAAATCATATCAAAGACGGAGTACATCGAGATGAAATACTACATTTAGTAAGGAATTATAAGCCGAATAAAATAAAAACATCTGCCCTGAAGATAAGGATAGTGCTGACAGATCAACTTCCAATTCATTGCGTGCCGTGTCGCCCCCCCCCCCCACAGAGCAACGTGAAATTGATAAACAGATTTCGGAATGGTTAGAGAATCAAAGGATATGCCTTTATCCATTTTTTGCAGCAATTCCACTTTTTGTTTGATGGACATCGAAACATGCTTTCGCTTTGTAGATCCTTTGGCAGCTCCAGAATCGGAAATTCTATTTGACATAATCGAAAGTTCAAGCTTACTTTTATAAAATTGCTCTAACAGTCTGCAAAAAATAATAAGCCTGATCCAATTAGAAGATTAAGGAACAACGCAATCTGCAACATTAACTGAAATAGATAATTAGATAATTTTAGCTTAGCTTATACCGTCTGTTATACATTAAATGTTCATGCGTAGACGCATATGCGCATGCATAAAGGTATTATGTGCATGCATTTATGCGCTGACGCATGCACAGAAAGTTTGTAGCTTTGAGGTCTAGATTATAGATCATTCCGGATTAAAGACTTTTGACTGTATTACTTTATTATTTCACTTTATGTAAAACTTAAAATTATGAATATAAAGGTAAATAGAGGGGGAAAATTACAAATATCTTCACCGTTTGTAAAATTATCTTTCAGGGTTATTCTATAAGCAAAGCCATTTTGAAAACAAAATTGAAGTAATAATGTACTCTTAGAAATAAATTAATTCATAAGGATGAAATATTTCCATATATGTTTCTGTTCTGTGGAATTGACTTCATAAATCATGAAAATAGCTTGGTATAATTTAATAATACATTTTCATTTTTAAATTCTAATTGTTCATTTAAAAAAAATTTTACATTTGACAGCAATTATTAGGTTTATTCTTTTCTGTGTTTGGAGATTGAATGAATTCAATATTAACACATAAATTGAAAATAATTATTACACTTGAAGCCATTATTCGTACAAAGAAACTGTGAATGATGAAAATTTTAACAAGAGCAAAGATTTTCAATACAATAATGAAACTTCACTCATTGGTATAAAAAATTTAAATGACCAACTATCAAAATCTTAATTAGTTCAAAAATGATAAATTGTTAATAACTATATAAATATCTAATATTTTACTTACATCTAATGCTTTTTTTAAGCTAATCCATCCTGAATCTGGATTTATTTCAAAGTAATCTAGATCAGTCGGATCATATGGAGCTGTGAGATTGTACACTATAGCACCATTATTGTCAGCATCTTCATCTGATGCTGAAACTCTTAAAATGTTTGTTCCTTTTGGTGTATCTTGTTTTACATTTTCTCTGTATTCTTGTCTATCAAACAGAGGGGGATTGTCATTAATGTCTGTAATTTCTACTTTAAATGAACACACTCCTTCAAGTGGAGGATTTCCACGATCTGTGGCTTTAACTGTTACGCTTACAAAACGACCATCATCTCCTTCTCTGTCAAATACCTGCAAAATAATAATAACAATAATAAAATGCTTTGGAAAATAGTAATAATTTATATGAGTTATAAAATCAAAATTAAATACTTTGTAATATGAATCATATTTTGAAAATATCTCATTGTAATATGGCATATTTGTAAACTTTTCCTGGGATCAGATACAAGGGGGAAATTTTTCATAGCTTCACAATAGATAGAAGTTTAAAAAAAATCTTATTCTAGTTTGCTTTCTGTAATTAAAATATAGGTATGCTTTTTTTTAATGTGTCTGATACAATCAGCCGCCTCCAACTATACATGCAAGCTCATCGCCATCAAAAGTGCTCCTGGAGATTTATCTCTCTAAAGAAGACCAGAGTTCCAAGGGCATCATCATCTTCTCTGACTGCAGATCAGCATTGCAAGCGATCCAGAAGAGCAAATGTCAACTCAGTCATCATATCATTGAGCTCACAAACAAAATCATTGCTGCCCAAAGATCCTGCATCTTACAATCCATACCGGCTCATGTAAATATTTGTGATAATGAGAAGACCGATGAGCTTGCAAAGGCATCCCCTGATTCTTCTTAGCCATCCAACTACCTAACCCTCGTTGATGCCAATGCAGTTGCCAGCCAAAGACTAATCGGTCAAGTTAAAGGAAACTCCATCACGGGATGAGGATTTCTACAGACGGACAATGTAGTTACACCAACATTTGTCCTCATTGCCCAGATAACATCCCACTGTCTCGCCATCACATCTTCAGCTGCCCAGCAATCCAGGCCAGACTGTTTAACATCGGCATTGAAGACCCAGTGGACCTGCTTTATACTGATAGAGCTGCCGAGATTGCAAAAGCTGTCTTTGACAGCTTCGAAGCTATATAATTGCACTTTGTCATAGACATGACATCATCATCATGACAATCAGTGGTATTAAAACATTAGCAATTTGTAATTAATCAACTCTTTTTTTAGCAGTTCATAATTAAAGCATTGAGGAGGTGAGATTGATCATCTCATTTCTTTAAATCGGAAAAGATCCTTTATTATTGGAATGAATATCAAATAACAATTGAATTTTACAAATAACTAATTCACAATTAATAATTTCTTTAAAAAAAATCTGATGTGTACACTACATGACTTCCTTGTACGGAATATTAAATTACACACATTTTTTTCTTGCATTTCATTTAAACTTATTGGATTGAATTAAATCTACTTTGCTGACAGCGCATAAACCACAATAGAATAAATGCATTCTTTAAAATTCACTCTAGTATTTGTTTACCATAGCGACACTCTGGCGCTAGATTCACTTAACAGTATTAATAATTATATAACAATTAACTTATATAATAATTATATAATGGAAACTACATTAACTGTTATATAATCCAATAATTGTATAACAGTTAACTTATATATTTCATTCATATTATAACTCATAATGCACAAAATTTATATCATTTAAAGAATAGAATTATCTAATCGTTGCCACATGTTCTATTCAAATACTATAATAAAGCTAGAATGACGTATAAAAGAAATTAAGCAAACAAAACAAAAAAGAAACAGTTTTTCACAGATGATTGAGTATTTCTCATTTAGTTAATTCAGTTCTCACTTTGTGAGAGGGCAAAAATACATAAAAACTCAAAATATCTATATTAAAAATTACGAAGTAAATCTTAAACACTTATTTCCTTGAAAAAATTCTAGAAAGAATTAAGCATGATTTAATTGGCAATAATAAATGAATGCGTTATCTTTGTTGTTGCGAAGCTAAGTTTCTCCAGATTGGCAACAAATCCACTAGTCTCCTGTTTCAAATGTAAACATCAATGGCCGCCATAAAAAAAAAAGGCTTAGCGGCACTTAGACAACTTTAAAATTGTTGATAATTCCAAAAATATTGCATACAGATTTACTAAAGGCATAAAAACCTTAACCGGAAGATAAAAACAACATAAACAATCATTTTTAAAGCAAAAAATGTTCAATTTACAAACGTATAAGAGTAAAGAAACGGAGATCACTGAGCCGGGTAACAGAGTGGATATATATATAAATTTTTTTGTGAATAAATTTAATCTCTTTCATATTTAGCAAATGCTTAATTTATTTGGTTCTAATAAATGTTTGAGTTTATTTGTTATATTTTTGTTTGTTTAAAAATGTAGTTTCTCAGGCACCACATGTCTATTTGTACCACAAATGGTGAAGATTACCAATTAAATGTTAACCAAGTATATCATATTATATGCATTAAATTCTGTTATGTAAAAGAACATTTTTGTTGACTTAAATTCTTCTTTTTCTGTAATTCAACATATGATTTTCGTTAATGACTTAATAAAAATTTATTTGGTGAGTGACTTCTGCTTAATATTAATGATAATTAGTGAATGCTGCATTTTCTACCGTGAATGATATTGCCTAATTAATCCTCTTTATCTGCCATCTTGAATCCTCCATATTTCCTAATTACATAGTATTTTTCTAAAACAAAAAGCTTTCACTTAATTTAGAGGTACTTTTAACATTGTAATACTGATCTTATATAATTGTAACATAGTGAAAACTGTATTATAGTGTTGTTTATTAAAAAATACATTTATTTGTTACATGTATCATTTATTTTTTTTATATTTATGTAGTATTATTCAGTTTTATTAATAAAATGTCACTCTTTTTTATTTCAGTTTGCTTTATAATATTAGCCTATCAAATCCCTTTCAGACCCACTTTATGTCATTTTGTGGTTTGGGTTAAAATAATGAAATAGTTGATTGTGTGGGATAGCTTAATATTTTAATTCAGTGTCCCACTTCAAGATATGTAAGAAATGTAAATGTATACATAGGATGTGTTAGATATCAAAAATTACACTAAATACTTTTGTATGAGAATAGTAAAATAGTATGGCAATAATAAATTATTTAATTTTATAAAATGGATATATAGTTAGATACAAATATATTTTATGTGAAATTAAATTGTTTTCTGAATTATACATCAGTTCTCAGATTTAAAAAAATAAATAAGCAAATTATTTTATTCATACAAAAAACAGTATCATTGTGTTTGAATGTTTTAAGAATACTTGTGCAATTTCATTTAGAAAAAAAGAGCTGTAAAAATGCAGCTGTTGCTGAGTTTGATAAAATATCATGAAAATATAATAATTTGCTTTAGGTGATAATTATCAGAAAAAAATTTATCATATGCAACTTTAAGTATTATTACACCTTTAATTATTACTCCTCGTGTGTTATGAATTGTGTCAATGAAATATACGTAAGGAACGATAGTTTCTTTTATCAGTTTTTTATCTGAAGTAAGCAAAAGTTCTTGAAATCATTCAAGATACATATAAGTATTACAAAATGCTTATCATTTTGTGAATTACAGTTTACTTAAATAACTGAAATATTATACTCATTGTACACTCCTGTAATGTATATATATCTGAAAAGTTAGATAAAATTAATTTTCAATTAGAAAGGTGATAAAATACTTTTCATTTAAAAAGAGTTTAATTTTTTTTTCAATTATTTTCTAAGATGATATTGGGTTTAAGATAAATTAATTTCAATCACAGTTAATTTAGCATAAAAAAAACTTTATCATTATTTTGAAAAGAAAAAATTTACTTTTCAGTGTTATTAAGGGAATGTATTCTTACCTTATTTGTACGTATATCTCCTGTAATTTCATCAACTATGAACTTTGTTCCCTTTTGGTTTGGCTGTTGAACTATGGAATACCGTACTTGACCATTATGTCCTTTATCATTATCAATTGCTTTAACCTGAAAAAAATTTGCATTATATAACATACCATTTCAATTATGTTCTGCACATTCACAGAACAATATTACAGTCACATAACATTATCAGTCTCTGAAGAGGATTTTGAAATATTTACCAAGATTATAAATTCATTTTAAGGGATCCCACTCTTCTAGAGCCTTCCAATCACAAATGTCTACACCTTGTCTAGGCTTCAAACCTACACCCAATGATGTGAGCAGTAAAACTCTACTAATTGTCATTTTTCCAAAGCAGCTTTTTCAAAGTATAATTGACTAAATAATTTCAATGAAAATATGTAGAATTAGCTATTCATGACGAGAATTGAGATTTGTGGTTCCTAAATACAGTTAATTAGGTATTTATATGTGTATAGAATATGTATGATGTAGGTGATTCTATAATAAATTTTATTTCATGGGTTTTTAAATATTAATGGCCATTATATATTAGTGAGTTTAATCTGGTTGATGAAAAAATTATTAATAATTTCATATCTGTATGTAACTATTTAAAGCTTTTAAAAGAACATGAAATATTTGATCTTTTATCCATTTCTACGTCACATATATGTTGGGTTCTTGTATAATGCATATTTCTCCAATAGAGCCCTAATCTTTAAATTAGCTTGTCATCATCTTGCTAAATGTATTGGCAATCTTTTATATCTTTGTGGTATATTTATCATGCAAATTTCAGCAGAATGGAAATAAAGTTACCTACAATACATATCAAATGGTACAATAAATGTATTTTAATAATAATTTTCCATTTTTAATGCCACAATGTAATATTATATATGGTTTCCTTTTACCACATTGTTAGATTTGCATGTTACACAAATTATCTTTTAATTTTTAAAATGGTAGTGGTATTAGCTAATGTATAAAGTTATTACAATTAGAAGATCAGAACTGGTGAAGAATATTTTTAGATCTAATGTATTTTTTAAAATTTTAATTTAGTTCAATGTATAGCCCTTGGGATTAAAAAAAAAAGGGTTTTAAAATGGTTTGTTCCCTTTTGTTTAAGCGAGGGGGAGAAGGATATGGATTTTAAAAATACATGTGTAGTGGGCTCTATTGAAATATTTACATTTTTCAATTTATCACAATAACTGTCAAAGTAAATGAAACTTAAATTTGAATTAGCTTAATGCATTATGTATAGGATTAAAAAATCAATTTCAAAATAACTTCTCTCATATTTTTTGGGAGGGGAGAAGCAGCATGGATTTTCAAAACACAAACATAGCTGACTTTACAGAGTGCCAGCAATATCTTCGAAGTTATGTGGTAGATGGGATTTCATAAGTCAGGATCTGACTTTCCATATAAGCACATATGAATTTCAGTTAAATACACCAAAGGCTCAAAGCACTTGTCTAGGAGTAAAGTTTGTAATCAAGAATGTAGTTTTCATGTATATCAATACAAAATAGTATTAAAATAAATGTGATGTGAAACAGAATAATTTCTATACCAATGGTTTCATAAAATTTAATAAACCTGTCTGACGACTCAATGACATTTTTATCAGATAAAATTCCTTCATATCAAGCTAATATTTTTCTATTCCTTGCCTTGCATCTAGAATGTTTTTTTCATTACTACTTATAGCCTTATGTTCTTAAAAATTTGTAATCCCCTATCAGCTAGTCTGAGACCTCTCAATCTTATAACTGTCATATGTTTTTCTGGTGGATCTGGGTCTGGCGTATTCATTTCTTGAGTGAATGATTTGGTCACACACACATACAGAGGCTGTTCACACATTTTTTAGACGATGTATATTGTATTCACAAAAGTAAATTACATAAAACTCTTGTGTTTTAAATGTTCTGTTTGACATCCCTTATTCTGAACTATCTTTTGACACCGCAATTTCCAGGATAATAATGCCTTTTGAAGTGGCAGAAGAGGTATTCTATCCCATTCCTCCCGAACAGCTTTCCAGAGTCCAAGGTTAGGGTTGGGGATCGACGTTTGGATAATTGCGTTTTTTAAAAGTCCAAAAGTACAAAAATCCATAGGTGACACCTCGGGAGATTTAGTAGGGATATCAGTGAAGGTTATGGCCTTGATACCATGTTTTTTGTTCCATTTCTTTTACAGGAAATTTACAGTGGATTTTGATGTATGGACTGCTTAGCTTTGTCCTGATGGAGTTCTACGCAGATTAAAGGCATATGCGGGTAAAGTGAATGGTATTTCATATTCGAAAATTGGCGTATAAAATATGTTCCTGACAAGTATTTGGAGTTAATCTTGACAGTTTTTTGCACTCTCTTTAATTTTTTTAACTTGCCATATATACAAGAAAACCACAACAGCGTAAATCCCTTAGAAAAAACTTTCTTTCGATTCTTATGAACCAAGGTCTAAGATTTTTTTCCTTCCCTTTTATGATAATAAAAGTAATTTTTTTGTTACAATTTTTTTTTGTTACTCTTTTTTTGTTACAATCATTTAAATACACCCATGCTTCATCTATTGTAACAATTGTTTTCCATTTTTCTTTGGATAAGTGTTCCTCATATAGAATTCTGCAACGTGTCCTGCGTTGGATATGCTTTGGAAGAAGACGATGCACATTGCGTTTTTCCGCTTTCTTAAGGTTTAAATCAACGTTTATCATTTTGTTTACAGTGGACACCGAGCATTTTAATGATTTTGCAACTGTCCTTTGACTGGGGGGATTTTCTTTTAACATTAAACAACGTACCTTTGCAATAGTCGAAGACGTCCATTTTTCCCTTGGATAGTTGTTTGGAATTTTTGTCCCACTTGAGGCTCTAATTTGACGTTTTTTTCCTTTCTTGTTGATGATATTACCTCTCGACACTTTAGATATCACAAAACCATGACTCTCACATCGTTTTTGGATAATGGAGTATGCATATTTCTCTTCGGAAAGAGCGTAAATGTAGCCTTCGAACCACTGCTTTGTTAAATTCGCCATTTTGAATAAAAACAAAACTTTCAAGCCACAGACAATAATTTTGACTTTTAAAAACATAGTACAAATGCAATTACTTCTTTTGCAGCAAATGATTTTTTTATTACCGCTTACTAAAATAGTCTAAAAAATGTGCGAACAGCCTCTGTCTATATAAGCTCATTGATTGTCAGCTATCTCACTGACATCACCATTGTCAGCTTCCAAATCTATTTGTGTGGCAAATTGGCAACTTCTCCCCCCCCTCTTTAATTTCATTCCAAAATTTTCTAGTGAAAACAAACAACATCCCCCCCAAATAAACATGAGAAATAACAGGGGCATAAATTGTTCCTTTTGTTTATGGTTCTGCAAGTGTGATTTCATTCATGTGATTTCGTTGATAGTATTTATGTCTCCTATCCATGGCACATTTATTTTATTTATAGCGAGTGTTAAATGCTATCCTTTCTTGAATTATTTATTAACACATCAGTGAGGTAAGAATGTATTCTAGTAAATTTTATCTATCTTTGCTGAGAGATACTTATTTATAGGCTCTCCGATGACATTAAAAGAGAGAGAGGTCTTAAATTAGAGAAAAATCCTTTAATGTGATGAATTAGTGAATTAACCCATTAGAAATTTATCTGTTGGTGAATAGTGGCCTCATAACAGCCACAAGTCTTGAGAAATTTATTTAGGATTATCATAATCTTTTAAACTTGGGAACACTATGTACTATTTAATATTTTCATTTAAAATTAATGCATGAAATACACGTTCTTATGTATGCAATACTTCTTATTTGCAAAATGAATCATGTAAATTTTAAAAGCTGAATAGATCACAGTAGTCAATTCTTTGAAATTAATCTGACTGTCTGATCTATTTAACTTTTAAAATGCATAAATCATCAGCACTAATATTTGGAAGAGAGGTACATCATTATCAAATATAAAATTAGGCAAAAAGCAATCTTAGAGTGATTCAAGTTTTTTAGAAAAAACTATTGATTTCCAGTGAGATGCATATAAGGCCCCTTTTCTTCAAAGAGCAAAAATATTCTTCAATATAATAAATTTTCATAAAATATTCTTCAATATAATATAATATTTTGTTTCCCGAATAAGAGGCACTCCATGCCTGTATTTGACATATTGATATTGTGGGGTATACAATATCAATATATCAAATAGCACTGTATTTTTTATACAACTTCTGCATGTTTACAATCATCTTATAAAACAATAACTTAATAACATAATAATATCAAGCAATACAATATAATATGAAAACAGTAAGTAATGTTTATAGAATTTTACTTTGATGACTTGTGTACCACTTGGCGCTCCTTCTTCCACTTGAGGAGCATATGTACTGCATTCTTCAAAAAGTGGCTTATTGTCATTCACATCTGTTATAAATACCACAACAAGGGCTGTACTGGTATGAGTCGTCAAGGCACCGTTTTTGCAACAAGCACCATCATCACGGGCTGTTACATTAAGCTCATACTTATCTTTATCCAGTTGAATATGACCACTAATAAGTCGTATGACACCTGCAAAATAAGGCATTTCATGATGTCAAATCAGTTCATATAAAATTGTATTCATAAAGAAAAGTTCATACTAATCTAAAATAAAATTTTTAAAGTTCATCATTATTCTGCTTTTACCAGAAATGAGGCCAGTGCAGCCGTACCCAGTGCCCCCCTAAAAAAAATGCATTTTTTAATAATGAGTTTAAATCTTGTGTACTGTTCTAGAAAATAAGATGATTAGAAAGAGTATATATTTATATATATTATTGAACTCAAATAAACTAGAAGTTCTCTCTGTGTGTAAATGTGTAAAATAAAGAAAACTGTAAAATAGTAACAAGAAATCCAAATGCACATTTTTCCACTTCATATTTCTAGAATGTGTGTCATATTTCTTCAAAAACGCTTTAAAATTTCATTTAAATCAAATAGCAAGATAACATCTTATGAAATATGCTTTTTTATTGTTTGTTTTTGTTTTGTTTATCATAAACAGACTTCCAAAGTGCACAAGTTTGATTTGCCGACCAAGTATTGTGCATCATGTGGCATTCTGTGATATTTGCCTGTATTCTGATCGGAGCGTTATCTCTGATCATTTAATATTAATTGTAGTTTTATTAATCACACATTTTTCGTTCGTTCATGACCTTTTGGTTTCTAAACTATGAATAATTACATAAATTCAATGGTTTGCTTATCATTAAACCGGAAAATTGTAAACCCTAGAACTGGATTGCTTAGTGCTGCCCTCTATTGAATACAATAAATACTACCCAATTCAAATAAAGTTATTTTACAAAAACTTATGTGCAGTAAAAATCCGTTCCTGTTCTGGGTCGCTGTAGCATCATATCATCTATTAAGAACATACATATAAGATTTTATGGTTTTCCAACTTAGAGCTTTTAACAAACGGCACAGTGGTCTCTCAATAAAAATCATTAAATCAACGTTGGTAACAATGATGATGCATATTTTTAACATAGCAACAATTTTGAAACATATTTGAGTTCTTAAAACTTTTCAGATTACTTTTTTTAATTTGTTACTGGCATAAAAATGATTAAATGCTATAAATATCAAAAATGGCATACCAATCGACCTTGATGAAAAAATATGCAGAAATGAAAGTTCAATAGTAATTTATTTTTTTAGTCTATATAGATATACGATTAATAATAGTTACATGCTTTTAAATGTTATGAATGTCCAGGCATTCGAATGCTTAGATATTCATACGTATTTCTGGGGAAATGGACGCCTTGATGTCTCCAGAGCCCTAGTTAAATAGTGTGGAATAGCCGTGGAAAAATTGATAGTGTTGTTCAATAGAGGTATTTTTTAAGATTTTCTCCCAACAAACACTTGCCTTAGCTGGTAAGCTATATTGTCCAGAATCGACAACAAATACGTTATTTTCGAATTTTTTAAATTTTTCTAAACTTAACAATTTATGCAGTGGCTCCCTTCAGATAAAAGGAATTGACGCCTTCATTTTTTAAGACTTTGATAGGGATTAAGCCCTAAATCTTATGTTCTCCATGTCACTGTTGTAACTACTAAACTATCGGAAGCATTGACCTTGAGAACCTAATTATTATAGTCTATTGCCCCTAGCATTCACTTTCCTTGTTCTTATGAGGAATTTGCAGGATAATTTTGAAGCCCAGGCTTGTGCACTTAGACGGTAATCACACCTTATTAAAAGAGCTGCTATTTTTAATTCCTTTATAGTCATCAGTGGGCCAAATCTTCATTAATTGCCATAATATCGACAGAAGACGACCAATCAAGTTTACGATGCAATACGTATGCGAACTGCCGCTGGCTTCACTTGTACTGAACACGTAAAAGCACAATCGCATATGTGCTAGTGCACTGATGCAAACAAGATTAAGGATAGGAAGACGCTCTTTCATCAATTATGTAAAACATGAGCTTTTAGCGCTGCTAAGCATGAGTTAACCAACGTATCCAGATAACATGGCTTGCTACCGGTGCGGACCCAATGAGACCAGCTGTTACAATTCCATCACGTCATTTCAGATGTACGAAAAATCTTCGAGCCTACAAATGTATATGTCAGGATGTTAAAAGCTAGCATGGGATAAGCTTTAAAAGTTACCCAGAATATCAAACAATAGGGAAAGATAGCTTTTAAAGAAAATCAGAAGACTTTCCAGCCAAACTTCAAATAAAGATCTTCAGCAGAGGTAAAAGAAAAGCTTCCTACAACAGTACCTGTAAGACAGGGATTTCTACGTACAGGGAGGTCAGAAATCGGATGTAACTTTCAATGAAATTAAACCTCAGCGTGAAAAATCCCTTAAAAAAACGATAAAAAGTCTAGCGCCCTCTCTCTCTCTCATATTGAGGCCTTTAAATGATAGAATTTACACAAGATTTTAAAAATAGTAGTGTTAGTTTAGTATCCTTGTTGACTTAATTTCCCTGAGCTGGTGCTAGTGCGCATAAGCAAATGGCGAGTCGGTGTTAGAGCCGGTGCTAAGCTTTTTGCTGCTTGGTTCCTTCATGAATTCTAAAATTTTGCCTCCTGATGCAGTTGCAATGACTGGCTGCGGTCGGTGTTAAAATGCTGAGGAAGTCACATTAGACTAGCGGTTCTCAATCTTTTGACTAACGCGTACCATCTAAACAAAAATTGAAAACCTTTTAATACCACCATTACATTTTACAATGCCTGCCTTTCAACTTATCAATAGAAATATTTAAAAAAAAAATTGCCATTTGCACAACCTTTTGGCTATTTGTATTAAATATGCACATAAAATATTAGATTAAAAATTGGTTATCATTTTAATTATCGAAATTTATGTTATACTAAAATTCTAAAACTTAGTGTGAGAATTAGTTAATTCTGTGCAAAATTTTATTGTGAATAGTTCTAAAATTTAGTGTGAAATTTGGGGCTGTTTAAGAGATATCACTTTCTTTATGTCTGGTCTTATTTTACTTAGCTTTAACCGTAAATTAGGATCCACTTTTAAATTTGTTCTGTATGTATTTTTCAAATATAATATGGAAGAAAATCCTTGTTCACACATATAGATTGTGCAAAAAAGCGATAAAAATTTGATAGTTTTATTTGAAATGCGTTCTTTTTTTTTTTTTTTTTTTTTTTTTTTTCCTTGCAGCAAAAAGTTAACAAGTGTGTTATTTTTGAAATTTTCAGTTAAGAATTCGATCGCAGAAAATTTCTATCAGTTGTTCTTTTTCTCCTGGACATTTTTTAAATTTGATTGCCGAAATTACTTTGTTTCATTGCGTACCACTTTTTTTTTTCTTCTTCTTCTTCTTCTTCTTTTGCGTACCACCAATCGAGAATCACTGCATTAGACTACTGCATTTTGTGAAAAATGATTATCCATGGTCTCTCCATACAAAAGTTTTACCTTCGTCAAGTATTGCTGTAAAGATTGTACGCTAAGGAATAAAACGGATTTAAGATTTCTTCTATTCGCGAAAGTTGATAAATAAATTATATAAGTTATTCTTTTTTCTCATACTTTTTAAATTATATTTAATCAACCTTATGAATTCAATAGTTCATCTGATCTCGGTTGCTTTAATCCTTTTTTAAATTAAAAAAAAAAAACTTAAGTATTCCATAAAATAATAAATTAAATGAATAAACACTCACCTGTTCTTTCTTCTATCTGGAACATTCCTGATACAGTTCCCCCTCCAACAAATCCGAAGTAGATGTTATCACCATCTTTATCACTGGCTACCACTGTTGTAACGAGTGTATTTGGACCCGCATTTTCATCCACGTTCGGTGTATACACATCTTGACTAAATTTCGGCGGTTCGTCATTTTTATTTTCTGTATAAATGCGTACTGTTGCTGTTCCTGTCAAAGGGGGATCCCCCCTGTCAGTTGCTCGGACAGTGAGAACATAAGTGTTGTTGATGTCAGCATCCAACCGTTTGTTGGAGTAGATTATACCCTTATTGTCGATAGTAAAGTCATCTTTATCTAGAGAATATTCAATCTCTGCGTTCTTGTTTTGATCCATATCACTTGCAGAAACTAAATTGAAATGAAAAATGTAAGTACAATATTTTTTTACTTGTTTATATTGAAGAAAACGTAAGTTATAACATTTATATTTATAATAAATGTATATAATTTATTCAGTTGATCTAATATAAATAAAATTATGTTTAATATGGTTTTATAAGCAAATACGGGGGGAAAATTAATATTTGTAATAAATGAATTCATACGTAAACAAGCTATTCAAAACAGTCCTGTAAAATCATGAATTAATTAACTGCTATATTTTCGTATAACTAATAATTACATATATTTTTGTTTTATGTATTGTTACAAATGCAGTCAGATTGAAAGTTCAATTAAAGTTCTGATAAGACTATTATCACAACTCATATTAATACAAAGAGTCTTAGGTAATATGTTTCTGCTTTAAGAAAATCATTGAGAAAAAAAATTAAACTAATCGAAAATAGAAATTTTCTAGCGTATATTTTATATGCAGTGTGTTCGAATAAAATGGCTAAGGGCTTTTCTTTATCAATAATCATTTTGCTCATGTATTTCAAATTACAAAATTTCATAAAATAAGCTGCAGAATTATATGAAGGCAATCTCAAAGCTGTGGGTGGGAAGAATTTTGTTAAAAAAATACAAATAACAATACATATATATTTTTAAAAAAATCTACTTTTCTCATGATTTTCATAAAATAAAAATTTCTAATTAGTGATATGCTATGATTAATATTTAGTTAAATCAACTGAAAATATTCCATGCTTTTAAATAGAAAATTCACGCAGTTTATTTCAGTCCGAATTTGCTAACTTAAATCATATTTCATGTAAATTACCGATTTGAATTTAGGACTTTAAGAACACGTTTGACAAATGCGTCAAAACTAAAATTTGCTAAGTTTTGCTCATACGATATCAATTATTTTTCTTTTAGTTGAAAAAGCAATCCGTGTTTAATTCCTATCTCTGGCTCCTGAAAATGCGTAGAAAGCCTGTGTCTTCAAATTTGGTTTCCAAATGTGGAAGTTTTATTTTGCTTTGTTTCTAATTAATGACAGTGTTATGATTAATTAGAATTTTTCTTCAAAGTTCTCCATACAAAATGCCCCTCCCAGGTATGAGTGAATGTTTTTATTTTAAGAAACTTTGCCAATGGAAGTCATTATGTGTATGTAGAAGAAATGCTTATGGGTTTTAAAAATTATTCTTTGTAATTATTTAAATGTATATGCTATACATAAGTGAAAAAGCTATTGAATAAAAAAAAAAGTAATGAACTGTACAGTAAACTTAATTGTTTCAATTATAGAAAATTGGGACATTTTAAAATGTCAAAATTGTATATTCATTACCTTGTAAAATAGACGTTCCGACTGCAACATCCTCATCGACATTATGTGCCTGGTAATCAGGAAGTTCAAATCTTGGAGCGTTATCGTTGACATCTGTGACTTTTATCGTAAGCTGAAAGAAAAATATAAATGGTTTTACATATATATAAAGCGCAGTCATGAACGTGACTCTTTTTCCTTCTATTTCGTTTATGTAACTCCTTTATATTTATGTAAATACGTGTATTATTTCATGTGGTTTAGTCGTAAAGCTTTCATATGCGTCAGCTTTTTTTTTTAAACTTTCTAAGCTCATTTCCCACGTATGATAAGAACATAATTCCCCTTATTTTGTAATTAAAATTTGTAATTCTTTGTTTATCATAATTAATCACTGCTGCTGCACAAATAAGCTAAATATTTGAAATAGTTTCGACCAACCGGTAGTTCGATCAGACAACTATCAGACTCAATTCAGATTAGAATTTTTGAGTGAGAAAAATTCACAGAATTTTACATTTTATTTAATCAAGAGTCTGTAGAGAACCTATGGTGTCCTTCCAAATCAATTCCTCAACAGAAAATTTCGCGAAAGTAGAGGGTGAGCGGTAAGATACAGGGGCCAATAAAAATTAAACAAATAGATTGTGAATAAAGGATCCTTTTCGCTTTTTCTATCCTGTTGCAGAGAAAGAATGCTTTTTATTCCCTTGATGAGATAGTGAGCCACGGAGGCCCGCCTAAGGAACGAAGGTGCGATTAAGAAAGACTTTGATGCGGTAGCTTTACAAAAAGGGCTTGATTTGGAGCATGGCGTCAATTACAGTTTAAATGGTCCTTAGACTCTTACTAATTATTTCTTTTAGAAACAGTCTATCGGTGCGTGAAAATAATCGAAGACCTTCTCTGTTGAATGAGTAGGGAAAATACATTACTCGTCTTGTCTTAGGGCGACGTGGAGAAATATATTAGGTGCTTAAATTTAATTGGAACATGGCTATAATTGGTTCAGAAAAGGTTGTGGCTGACCAATTAAGTTCAGGTGAGGCTTGGCTGCGTCACGAGATGTCGTTTAAATAATAATTAGGTCTGGAGTTTAATAGGGAATATTTTGTCGTAAAAAAGGCTTTGGAAAGGGTTAACTTTTGACCCTTTTTTTTTTTTTTTTTTATTATTATTATTTGGATGAAGAGCTTAGCGAAAATGAAGAAAGGGAAAAAAGGGAGTGAAAATGTGGATAATAATATTAGCAATTTTTTTTTTAGCTGGAGAAAGAACATTTTATTGGACATAACTTGGAAAGACAGAATGATAGAAGTTTCTTTCCTACACTGATGGAATGTTCCAGTTTTACAGACATTTAAGAAATAACTGAGAGCTAGAAGTCCTTGTCCTTCACTGATTATCAATTTGACACCGATCAGGTTGACAGACATTTAAGAAATGACTGAGTTATAAAAGTTCCTGCCCTACATTGATGAAGCGGCCCAGTTTTACAGATGTTTAAGAAATAACTGAGCGATAAAGGTTCCTGACCTACAGTAATGAAGTGGTCCAGTTTTGTACACGTTTAAGAAATAACTGAGCGGTAAATGTTCCTGCCCTATACTGATGAAGTGGTCAAGTTTTACAGAATTTTAAGAAACGACTGAGTAATAAAGATCCCTATATGAATATTTACATAACTATTACTATGTGTTTATCTATTTACGACATGCAGGTAAAGAATTTTAAACTGTGCTAACCGAACCTGGACTGTTACAGTTTGCTGCGGTAATTATTGCACTACTTTTATATAAAATTCTCTACACAACAAAAGAGGTATATATTTAAGACGATATTTTCAAAACAAAACAAAAAAGTTACATGCAAGAAATGAATACTTAATTATTGCTTATCAAATAATGTTACATAAATGATACAAAAAAAACACATTTTAAAAATTTGATTAATACCTCGACTGAAGTTGAGAAACCTCCCGAATCTTCTGTTGCAGTGACAATTAAAGAATAGGATTTAGGTTGCCGAAGATCTTCGTAATCCAGATCTTTAGCGAGTTTCACAACTCCAGTTGTCGGACCAATATTAAAAGTTCCTGCTCCTTTACCTTGAGCCCTTAAGGTGTACCTTATTTCTCTATCGGCAAAGGATTTGGCTTTCACTTCTATGATACTAAAAAAGATTATGAAAAGAAATTATACAGATATGCAAATGCTACAAATAGAATCGAAATGCTGTTGAGAAGTAACATGTAAAATTAAGAATAAAATATTTACTCTGAATCTTTTCTTTGATTTTCTGGTATAGTGGCTTCATATTTTTGCATGTAAAACTGTGGTGGACGTTTGCCACCCATAATAGATAGTCTTTCTTCTCCAGTGGATTGGTGTTGCCTGTCTTCCGTCATCCCGTTGTGATCTTCGGCTTTCACATATAAGACGTATTCTTTGTCCAACATAAAAGGATCACTACCTAAAGTTCGAACTTCGCCGGATCTTTCATCTACTTCAAATCGGCCTCCAGCTGTAATATTAAAAATTCTCTAATTAATAATTCTTCAAAGTCTTTTGACAAATTTCAGCATGAATGACATTAAGCAATATATTTACTTTCTTGGTACGATGTAAAAAGGAAGTATCGCGAAAAGTTTCGGGTATCATATTTCAACCAAAATATCCATTCTGACCGCTATCGAAAGCAATTCAACGATGCTTTTGCATGACATCTGTAGGTAAGGGCAGAATAAAGGACGTTTTTCCCCCAAAAAAATTATAAAAAATGAATTCCGAAGAGATTTTTTCGTGGCGTCCGTCCGTCCGTACGTGCGTATCTCGCATAACACAAAAACGAATAGCCTCAGAAAGTTGAAATTTTGTATAAAGAACTGCTATAACATATAGATGTGCACCTCCCATTTTGGTTCCAAACGGACACACCAAATATATAAATATATGTATCACCTATTAGCGCTATTTATCTCTTTTTTAATGCACTCCCTCTATATATTATCTCCGCTTTATATATATATATCTACTTTGTTACTCGGCTCAGTTTCTTTATTCTTATATGTCCGTAAATTGCGCATTTTTTGTTTTAAAAATGATTGAATTATGTTTTTCTTATCTTCCGGTTAAGGTTTTTATGCCTTAACCTGCATGCAATAATTGTGGAATTATCAACAGTTTAAAAGTGTTTTAAGTGCGGCTAAGCCTAATTTCTGTTTAGATGGCAGCCATATTTGTTTACATTTGAAATTATCAGAATAGTGGATTTGTTGCCAATCTAAAGAACTTCGCAACAACAAAGTCTTCTTAATGTCGGAGTGGAACCAAAATGTAAACGTTTGGTTTTATGCATTGCGATTAAATTATACTTAATTCTTTGCCCGGAATCGTCGAATTTAACCTATTATCTTTTTTTGCGTAGAAACTGTAATTTTAATTGTCAAAAATTGTTTTTTAATTGTTTTAACTGCACTTGGTGTTTTATTTTTTTTTTTTTTTTTTTTTTTTTATAATTTTTAAAGAATTTTGAATATGTAGAATTTTAGCCTTGCCGCGAAATGAGAACCGAATTAATTATTAGCGCATACGCATTAGGTAAGCGGCGCTGATTCGTCTGCGAAAAACTGTTCCTTTTTTTATTTGTTTAATTGTTTTTACACATCGTGTAGTATTTGAATAGAATATGTGGTAATTCTTCAGTAATTTTTGTACTCTCTCAGTTATAAAATGAATGAAATGTAACGCTCGCTATGGTAAATAAATATAGTGAACTTTAAAGAATTTTTATTCTGTTGTGGTTTATGCGCTACAGACGAAGTATATTTAATTCAAAATTCGGTAACTGTTAATTAAGTATGTTTCAATGAAATGCAGGAAAATTGAGTATAATTTAATATTCCGTACAAGGAAGTCATAAGGTGTACACATCAGATATTTTTAAAAAGCAATTCAAGCAATCATAGTGTGCTAAGAAAATGTAAAGTAATTCAGCGTTATGTATTTAATAATTATCCTCTTTACTTAAATAAAATCATGCGCTGGGAAGGACCAATAATTTTCTTCCCATTTCATGAATTCTCGTACATGTGAGCCGTCATTGTCAAAAGCCAAAGATACTTTTCTGCTTAAAAACACCCCAATGTGAAATTTTAAATAAAAAAAAAAAAAAAAAAAATCATAGTGATTGAATTATTTATAAATTTGTCTTTTCGGTTCTGGATTCGTTATAAAGATGATACTTTAGTGCTTTTTGGTAGTAAAAAAGACAATTTTAAAAAAAATTTTACCTGCTATAAATTCAGTTGATCCAGTCTTCCGATTCACTTTTAAAACTTAATTTGAAGTTTTTCATTTCTTTTCTTACTATTTTCATGATTATTTGCAATGAGTCTGGTTTCAGCACTACTATTTACTATAAATTGTTTCTTTTTGTTTAATCTACGCCAACCTATTAATGTTGCTTTTTTTTTTTTTTTTCCGGGGGGGTTGCCTAATTTTAAATGTATTTCAAACTAGACAGATTTTTAATGTTATGCTAATAAATTTCTTACCGAAATTATTAAATGCTTTATATTTCCGATATTAAGATTAAAACTTATTGTAACAGGGTACTTTTCCGTTTTGCCGGCGCAAACGATAAGTCGCCAATAATGGTACAACTGATGCCAAACGGAATCTCTTCGCTGGTAACATTTTACTCCCCATTTTCAAAACAAGTCGCACCCATTTTTTATCAGATTGATTGCTTCTTTTAATACTGGCATACAATTACATAGAATTTTTACAAGATAGTTAAATTTTATGCCCTAAGACGATTCGCGGTAATTAAGTCAATTAGAATGCAATCACACCGCTCACCCGAAAGCGAAAAGGCAAAATCAAGAATTAAATTCATCCATTCTAATGAGAATGCACTAGCGAAGTAAAACACTACGGTTTTACATAATTTCTGAGTAAGCTATTCGTACGAATTAAAATAATTCTTGCATTTAAGCTTGTATTCCAAATTAAAATTTAACTTGAAATTAATGTAGATCTCAGAGAATTAGATTTTTGTAGTATAGTTTACGTGAGATGAGATCACTTGGGGTCACGTGATACGAACCGGTGAATCAGGATGTTGAACCATGAAAACATAGTAAATTCTTAAATTAATGTCTTTTTACAAATTTATTGTCTTCATTTATTGGCATTTTACAAAATTTTAACCAAATGTTTATGCCTTCAGAATAAAAAATTCTTAGAACTAACATTCGTTAAAATTTTTTATGTGTATACTGTATGTTGTCGCCAACAAAGTCTGCTTGGCGAGATTAGCGCCGGCGAAACGGAAAAGGACCGGTAACGGTAAACAAGTTTTGTTTTATACAACAATTTCTTTTGAGAAATTTGTCACAATTCATTAGTGATTAAAAATTTTTCTTTTCATGTGCTCAAGTTGCAAACAAGAGATTATTAAATTATTAGATTTAATAACCGTATGCTGCCTATTCTATGCCGTGCTTCGCTTATCCTTATGATATGTTAATAGTTAAAGTTTAGAGATTAGAAAATACCTGAGAGCTCAGAATTCTAGCTTTATGAGCTTGCTTCAAGTCATAACATTTAATTTTACACAACTAGCTTCACAAAGCTTTCCGAGTTGAAAAGCCTTTGACAGAAGTCTTTCAACTCCAGATGAGCACTCGTTTAATTCTCGCAATGATTCCTGGCATTGGCCGACCAGCGGCCAAACATTAATGAACACTGGTAGCCAAACATTCTGAACACTGGTGGTTCAACATGGGTTCAATTGCAGGTGAACGAGCTGATTGCTTGCATGGGCGTTTTCATGATTTTCCCCACGAGTCAATTTCCTTTACAAAGTCCTGCACGAAGGCATCCGTCTCCTTAGGCAGATAACCCTAGGCTGCTTTGCCATTATCAAATAAACTAAACTAAGCCTACTTGCCAATGCTTTTGAAGAAATGCTCAATGTATGTCTCTTAAATTTACACCTATCTTAAGTTGAATATAACTTAATTCCAAAATTTATTAGCGGTGTTTCTCGAGCTATCTTTCGTTGGTAGTCTTCCATGTTTTCAGTAAAGCAAAGAATCCTTCTTATTTTATAAAATTATCATTAATCAAATTGCGCTTAAATTTTTTGGATAAAATATCTAATTTAACTGGGTTTCTATTTTGTAAAATTTTAAAATAAGTTTCAGTCTTAGCAGATGTCCCCTTTTTTTATCATCGCATATCCCTAATACTGCTCTACACTTTGAGCAATAGTTTCTATTCACAACCTAAGACATAATTTATATGGCTACAATTATTTAGATAGATATAATTTATTTGACTTTTCTGTCTGTCGACGATTTCCAGAATATTGTTCCATGCTTTTCGAAATACCAAGCCCTATGGAACAACGTCAGGAAAAAGGAATAAGAGTAAGTAAATTATTAATAATTTAAAAATAAAATAGTTAATGATTATTAAATTAACTAAAAAATTGTTTCATCGCTATTAATAATTAATTTTTATTAATAACTATTAATAATTAGTTTGTATTAATAATTATCAATTACATAATTAATTTTTATTACATACCTGATAATTCTTATTCAGTTTAATTCATAATTGATTTATTATTATTTATTAAAATAATGAAATAATTAAAGATTAAAGTAATTAAATAATATGTAAAGAGATAAATTAAAATTTAATAAGCGATTTTTAATACAATTTTATAGCTAAAAATAAAATTTTCGAGACCAAATTTGTACTGCAATTGTTGTTCAGTTGCATAAAAGAAGTGCCGGAGCCTTCTTATTTAGGGCTCCGGTGCACTCCGGCTAGAATTAGAATTTATCCCGAAACTAAGAAGTACCGGAACCGAGTTCCGGTGGGCTCCGACGCAATTTAAGCTCTGACAAATACGGAAAATAAATATTATCGAGAAATGGCTAAACAGCTACTCAGATAAAATTTCTGGAGTTTTGCCTTCTCGAGTAACAACCATCTCGCATTGTTCTCAGACAGAGAGAGTTGAGGATCAGAATGTTTCCGAGGCCTTTAGACCCGAGCCCATTAATCAAAGGCGAGGAATCTGAGATTTAAGCCGATAGCCTAATCCTGCTATTTGCGGAACAGCTGCTGCTAAGGCGAGTGTGAGTTGAATTCACGCCTTTACTTTTAAGTTAAATTCCGCGAATATGAGACTTGATGGCAAGTCTTGAAGATGAATACTTTGATATCTACAGAAGGGTTGATTCACTGAATAAATTCACTTGTACGACCAGACGCCTTATGCAGATATTAGATATAAGTAGTCGCGCATATTAATTTCATATCGTAAGCAACATTAGATTTCAAAGCCCGTTAAAAATATGCATATGTATTTTGCATCAGCATCTGAAAACGGGTTTCCTAAAAGCTAAATGCATTTCGTTTCACACTTATGATAGATATTTTAATATGCATCTCTATCTGCACAGCCAACAAACGCTTGGAAAGTAGCTTGTAGAAAATCTTATATATTTCATACTTCCATACGGGTGTATTCCTTATATACACTCATGTCCATAAATTAAGGATAATGCAAAATCAGGCAAAGGAAGAGTTAGAAGCAAAACGAATTTGACTTATTTGTAAAGCTTATTTATTAAACAAAAGGTAAAGAGCAAAAAAAGATGCTATATGTTTGATATTATTAAAAATATTAGCGATTTTTTTCTCCCTGGAGCAAATTACAAAAAAAAAAAAAACCTATTTACAAAAAACCAATATTACATATGGTTGGTATGATTGTTAATACATTGTATGTCTCCCAGACGATGCAATACAGTCCGTACAACGCCTAGGCATGCTGAGTATCAAATTATCGATCTGATCTTGGGGGATATTACACCACTCAAAAAGCAATGCTCTCCGAAGTTCCGGTAGACATGTAGGAGGAGGTTGACGGGCTGCAACTCGTCGGCCAAGCATGTCCCACACGTGTTCTACTGGATTCAAGTCTGGTGAGAATGCTGGCCAGTCCATACGGGTGATATCCTCCGATTGAAGGCATTCGCTTACGATGTTTGCACGGTGAGGACGGGCGTTGTCATCCATAAACACAAATTGTGCGCCATGGCGCCCCGAAACAAACGTACATGTTGTTCCAGAATGACGTCCCGATAGATTTGGCTTGTCATGGTTCCAATTTGAACATGCAGGTCAGTTCTGGAACCCAGAATAATTCCACCCCAAACGAGCACTCCTCCACCACCGTAACGGTGTCGTTCAATGATGTTTTCTTGGTGGTAACGGGTACCTGGAGCTCTCCATATGAACGTCCGGCGAGAATCAGACTGCAAGCTAAACCTGGACTCGTCGGAAAACATCACACAAGCCCACTGTTGCGGTGTCCACAATGCATGCTCTCTACTCCAGGCTAACCGCAGGCGACAGTGAGTTGCAGTAAGTGGAACGCATCTGACAGGTCTACGAGCATATAGACCAATCTACCCTAAGCGTCTGTACACGGTCTGCCTTTAAATTGTCGTACCAGTGGCTGAAGAGAGCTGACGAGACAGGTCTGAGGCTGTGCTCCGCCTGTTTCTTTTGGCAGTAACTGCCAAATACCGGTCCTCATTCGGCGTTGTAACTCTGGGGCGACCTGGTGCTGTAACGTCTACTCACATTACCATCATCTTGGAATCGTTGCCAAAGCCTGGAGATGACACTCTGGGCAATTCCAAGTTCGTCTGATACTTCCAGTTGGGTACGCCCCACATTCCAGACGGCCGATAATTCTACCACGTAAAAAATCATCCAAATGCGTCCTTTGTGTCATAACTATTCGGTTATTGCACTGAAATGCTTATAAAGCGCCTGCGAACAATTTTACTTCTTTGCCTGTATTCCTTATATATCACTCTCTTACACTCTCGTCATTGTGACGTACCATCGGTGTCATCTAGTTACTTCCTGAAATTTGCATATGATTCTTGAAGAAGTGTGTAGTGATTTTACAGGTGATATATTTATTTTAGAGTTCGATTTTCGCGTGACTCCGAATTATCCTTAATTTATGGACATGAGTGTATTTCATACTTCCATATATTCCTTATATATTTCATATTTCCATATATTCCTTATATACTTCATACTTCCCAATTTGAGCATTGCCTTTACAAGCACGACAGTAGCAAAACAAGAGCAAGATTAGCAAAATTACAATTTCTAACTTTAAGTTTTCATTAAAAGATATTTAAAGATAACACTAAATGATGTTATTCCGTAAAAATTATTTATTGCATACTTGAAATATTTTATTATTTACTTTGAATTTAATATTTCAGTTTATTTTTACTTCCTTGCGCGAAGTAAAGGAAGTATTGTAATCGTGAAAATTTTCAGTTGTCATATTTCAATGAAAATATTCAATTTGACCGATATCGAATGCAATTTAACGATGTTTTTGCGTGAGATCTGTGAAGACATTTTGCGGACAGAATAAAGGACTCATTTCTCCAAAACGGGTTGGAAAAAAGAGTTGAAAAGATATTTTTTCCTGATGTCTGTACGTATGTATGTATTATCTCGCATAACTCAAAAACGAGAAGCCTCAGAACGTTGAAATTTTGTATATAGGCTGCTATAACATGTAGTTGTGCACCTCCCTTTTTTGTTGCAATCGATCACACCAAAAGTATATATATATACCTACTATGTTACTCGGCTTCGTGAGCTCAGTTTTTTTTTACTCTTATATGTTGGTAAATTGTGCATTTTTGCTTTAAAAATGATTGAGTTATGTTGTTCTTATCTTTCGGTTAAGGTTCTTATGCCTTTAGTTAATCTGCATACAATAGTTGTAGAATTATCAATAATTTAAAAATTGTTTAAGTGCGGCTACGCCTAATTTTCTTATCATAGTAGCCATATTTGTTTCCATTTGAAACTTAGAAGAATAGTGAATTAAGTCTTTCTGCACTTTCAGTATGTTTTTGCTGAGTTAAGTTTGTGGATTGAATTTTTCGTCTTTCTTCTAGCTATAGATCAACTGACAATTTATAGCAATGATTACAAACATCTGTCATCCTACTCTTTAAAATATCATATGCTAATGTTAAATGAGAAATAGTTCAATGAAATTTTTTATTTAATTTCATATGGCCAGTATCTGCTGTTAAAACAAAAGTAATAAAGTCTTCGGCACAAGTTTGTAACCATGACGCAAACTTAATCTCTGCAAAGAACGCTATCAATAGCAACGCCATGTACTTATATTTTTCTCAGATATCAACAAACACTGGGACCCGGGCAGTTGGACGGCAGCGAACCCCATTGACGGCTCTGGATAATGGCGGACGTGGTGCTTTACTGATTAACCATTAAGGTAAAGGGACAGTGCCCACGTCCTCCGTCACTTATCACTTATCAATAGCAACGCTATCAATAATTTCTCGTTGAAAATGTGTTTATAAAAAATTTCTAAAGCGAAGTCTCATTGATGACGATGATGATTTCTGCGAAGGCATACAATTCTAGAAAGAAATTAAGTGATGTACTTAATTAGAAGAATTTTACATAGAAAATTAAAATATGAACTGCGTGGATAAAGCTGCTTCCTTCAAATTTTGAATTTTATGAAATTAAATTCTAAAACTTCAAAGACATATTGTGCATGACATACATACCCACCCTACACTGCCATTCGTTTGCGATTGTATTCGGTAAAATTATTCATCTAATCTACGCTTTTTTGCAAATGAATGGTTTTTAATATATATTGTACATGGGAAAAAAATCGCATAAATAAACTCGTCTCTAGTTATTAGAACTGTAGTAGATGGTCTGGACCAGCGGTCGCTAACCGGTGGTCCGTGAAAACATTTTGATGATCCACAGAAAAATTGGGACATTATTTATATTTTTATGAAGATTCAGTTTAAAAAATGACGAGTAACAAAAATCTATTATGGAATATCAATTATACTTTTTTTTTTTTTTTTTTTTAAATTTTACCTGCCACTTTTAGCGAAATTCCTTCTGAATTTAGAGACTTTTGCTGGTGTATCTAGCAACATTTGAAAGTGAGAGTTGCCATTCATGGATATGCTGCTGTTATCAATAATAGCGCGAACTCTAATTCTCTTTCTTTTTGAATAACAAACATATGCTATTGCAGTCGTTAGTAACACAGTTCTTCTCCGTGTCAATAAGCAACTTGATGAATTTTTATGAGAACCATCTGCATTCTTGTTTATAATTGCATCAATGGAAGTTTCCGTTTTTGTCTAACTGTTGATCGATGGTGCCATTGCAGAGAAAGCGATAATTATTATGGTTACAAATTATTACATGATTATTATGTTTACAATTAAAAATTTGCAGCATAACACTTTCAGTTTATTGATATTGCTTTGCGTTTGCCGGTTTGTTCTTGCTTTTCGTAAAGTTCCTTTTCAGTGATATGGAAATGTGAAGCATTTTGTACAAGATGGTAAGATTTTTGTACTTTTCATATAATTTTTCAATATCAACGAAATATCAGTGAGGTGTTAATAGTGTTTTAATTGTTAGGGGCGTAGCCTGAATTTCCATAAAGGCATACTGCTGAACACCAAATGTTTCGAAAATTATATTAACAAATGAAAAATTATAAGTATTGGAAAGTTGAATATTGTTTTTGCGTATTAATATGTTGTTTTTAAGGTATGATTTAAGGTTTTTTTAAATTCATATTAGTGGTCCGCCAAATATAAAATTATATATGTAATGGTTCGTGAAGTTAGGGTTGACGACCGCTGGTCTGGACAATCTGTAACACACAAACCTTTCTGTAACGAACACAAATATGTGAATTGATTAAAAATCAAATGTATTTTATAATATTCAGCATTTTTCTCCAGGTTTTTAATTATAATATTCAGGTACGCTTAAAGCTATATTGTTGCAATTAAAAACACTTACTTCTGTCCCTGACTAGGAAGTAGTGGATGTTGTGATCTGTGTCTGGATCTCTGGCTTGGAGTTTGAAGACTGGAGTGCCGGGAGGGGCATTTAGCTGGACAACAGCTTGCATTGGCAAAGGACGGTTGATGAAGTACGGGGGTTCGTCATTTACATCTTTTAGATGGATTATCACTCTTTGCCTTTCAGGATCTGGAACAGAAAAATAAAATTTAATTTTAGAGCCAGAAACGATGACTTTTTTGAGAATGCAGTAATCAAATAAGTTTACGAGGGTTCGTAAAAGAATTGGATTCTTTATTGTACTCGAAGCTTACCCTGCAGTGAAGATTTTTATATTTATGATGTCCGCAATAAAATATTTTATACTTCTGATTACTTAAACTTAATAGCTAGCATTCTTTTAAAGTATTCTAGATTTAAACTTATGTTCAATTCGAAATAAGTTGCTAACGTTTCACATATTCTTGCGTGGCAGAATGGTAAATTGATTCAAAAGGATTGGTTGAAGACGATATAGGAATTTATAAACATAAATATGTATTTAATTAAAAATAAATAGATTTCGACGCATAAAGCAACTCTATAGTATTTAAAATATTATGAGTTTTGATATAAACTTGCTAAGCACTTCAGTTTTTAATAATTATAATGAATAAGCTGCATCAAGCTTTCGTGGAAGAGTTTGATATCATGGCACGAAAAAAAAAAAAAAAAAAAAAAAAGGTATGGTCAGTGCCTTTTTAAAGTCAACAAACGAAAATGAAGTATGCATTTATATATTCGATAACAATTATTGATACAATGATACATTTATGCATTTGATTTATGAGATGAAGTCATGCATACAGATATCTGGATACATAGTGAAATAATGGACATATCCTTAGTAAATGATTCATTAAGATTCATATGAAAACTTTGAGTTCCGAATTCCATTAAGCTTCTTTAAAAAATGTAAAATACTTGCGATACACTGATATATTATAAAATGCGAACCTTTAACACTTACAGCAGTTTTTTTTTTTTTTTTTTTTTTTTTTTTTTTGTTTGTTTTTGCTAAAATATCTAAGAAATATTGACCATAAAACGGATTCAGTTTTGAAACAGACAAAAATAATGAGATATACAATGAGCCCTCCAAGAAACGACCATCTTTAATGTCTACCTCTGAAAATGAATAGTATTTCTGACAGCATAATCAAACATCTGATTGAATATCATGTCTTTGACGTAATTACCTCACAGATGATCAAAGTCAATTGGAATTACAGATGGTCGTCTTAGAGAAGTTTCACCGTGTTATGTCCAAGTGCCTTAGAATAAAATCGCCAGGCACTAGAAATGCACTTTACGCACGATGATAAGTAAAAAATATTATGTGGACATATATCGGTATACGCATGATTGTACAAGATAAAGAACACTGAAAATCGTTGACAAAAAAATGTAGAGGCTAGCTTATAAGGTGTTTCTCCCGCCTTCTTAGCATGCCTTCGTGGTATAATGGTCAGCACGCTTCGCGCGTATTCGAGAGGTCCGAGGTTCGAGTCTCGGCGAGGGCATTGCTCATTTTTCATGTCTCCTGCTTCGAAATAACCTAATGTCTGTAGAAGCTGGGCCTCTGAAACCTCTTTTCACTGAGTATCCTATGACATCTCCAGCTCTTTATAAAGCCAGATCTTTCTTTTCACCAATTCCAGCAGCAGAGAACACCGTCCAACGGATTCACAACAGATCGTACGGTGCAGGCAGCTGTTGTATCGATATTCAACGGTTCGTAACTTATGAAATTTGCGCTTCTCGCTTTATATTCGCAGGATATTTTTTCTTATTTTCGGCTACAGAATGCACAGCCGGCAGGCTATTTATTTTTGGACACTAATATTAAATTAACTTTAACATCAGTTTGCTATAGGGTTATCACATTTAGTTGCGCGTAACGCTAGAAGAAACATTTCCGAGAAACAAGCTTCCTCTTCTCTGACCTTACGAGGGTTCTTAGCCGAACAGTTTCGCCTGAACCGCCGCTCCGCCTAGCTACGCGGGACATTTTGCGGCTGAGGCGAAAATGTTTTTCCGTTTAGTTGACTTTGCGAAAATAATCGGTTTTCGTGCTTTAAATCAACAAACCTCATATCCCAAAAGCGAAATTCCAGGAAATATCAGATAACGGTTTTAATGAAGTCCAATGCCTCTTAAGCTCTTCCCGTTATATGTTCTTGCGACAAAGATTGGTTATCTTCAGCCATAGAATGTACAATCGGTGTTTGGCGAGTTTATTCTAGTGCACTCTCTCTAATACATATGTTAGAATACTGATAATTAAGAGTAAATATCAACACTCATTTCAGTCATAACTAAATACAGCCATTATTTAATCTCTGAAACACTGTATACAGAATATAATGTAAAAATCATGTGACCACATTTTAATAGCTTTTAAATTGTGCATCGTTAAAACAATGCAATTAAGTCTTGTGAAATTTAACAAAAACACAGAATTTCAAACTGTTAGATAATTTTAAAATGCGCTTGCAGCTGAGGCAATTGGGGTGGGACTGATGTCCCGGCTAGGTACGCGGAACATTTTACAACACAGAATTTTTCTGATTGGTTACGCAAAAATAATTGGTTTTCACGTAAGTCAATCTATCAGCTATCCCGAAAGAGAAAATTCCTGGACATGTTTCTTTCGACTCACAGCCGCGGAATAGCTGTTAAGTCTGGTTCCAATTTTAATAATGCCCAATATCTCGTAATTCATAAACTGCCCTTTATCTATCCATCAGACATAAGCCATAGAACATCACCGATGTTTGGGGATTTTATTTGGTATTTGAGAAGGTATTTCTCACGCCTTCTTAGCATGCCTTCGTAGTGTAGTGGTCTGCACCCTAGGCGCATATTCCAGAGGTCCGTGTTTCGATTCCCAGCGAAGGTGTTGTTCATTTTTCATCTCTTCTGCTTCCAAAAAATACTTAATGTCTCTACAGTGGCGGCCGAACTAAAAGAGTGGTGTTTGATGATTCTCCACACCCAAGATTTGGCGATTGGTTTCCCTAAAAACCCCAGCCGCCATTTCAAAGGGGGAGTATATAAGGTATTTCTCCCGCTTTCTTAGCATGCCTTTGTAGTGTAGTGGTCTGCACGCTGGTCACGTATTCCAGAGGTCCGTGGTTCGATTCCCGTCGAGCGCGTTGCTCATTTTTCATCACTCCCGCTTTTAAACAAATACCTAATGTCTCTACACACTCTCCATAATGTATGTTGGCCGGATAATACCGTCACTTCCCTCTTCTATTTGATTCAGAACGTGCCCTGTCCAATGTGACGACGATGGATGGGCCTTATCCTACCTCCTTCGAACCATCACCACCAAGATTCTGCTTTAGTTGGGCGCAGTCGTAACGACCTGATCTTTGTTAACTATTGAATATAGGAATTAAACTCTTGTTTATCTTGAGTGATCCAAGTCTTACATAACTGTATGCAACCGCCATAACGTTCAAAGAGTAATAATGGTAAAACTATTTCATCCTTTCATACATTTTATACTGCAAATACTATTAATGATATAACTCTACCATATTAAAAGAAAATAAAGTTTATGCATGCATCTCACTAATCGCATAGTTTTTTTTTTTTAAAGGTAAGTAATTTAACTTATTATTAAATATATTGTAAGGTATATTTTAATTTAATAACAGTTTTTTTTTTTAAGTTTATGCCATTTTCCTATCTCTTCCAGCTTCAGCTTACAATTCCTTACCAGAATGAGTTTTTAGAATCGCGTTAAATACAAATGAGAAGTTGAGTAGTATTTAAGTCACGTTCCACTGACTTCGCCAGAGAGAGTTGGGATTCCTTAATAGCGCACATTTGCTTTTTGGCTACGTCTATATAAGTGTTACTACGCTCAGCCGTATTACGTGCCTTTTGATAGCTTCGCTGGCTAAGTTAATAGTTAATACAACGGGCCAACTATTTAGAATTGTGTTAGCTTCGGCTAAATCTCTTTAGTTAGTTATTATTACTTACATTCTGAGTTCAAGCTTAAGTGAAGGCTTTGCTGTACGCCCTGAGAAAGTGGCCGACTGTATATCTTTATTTGGAGCAAATAAATGGTAATTAACCCTTCTTGAGTTTACGTTTCTGTTCTTGGACTAAAGTGATTACTCGCGTAGTAGCTCACTAGGTTCCTCGACATTACATTTAACAAGATAAAAGTGAGCCACCCTACAATATAAAGAATATTTTTAAAAAGGAAAGAAGCAAAACACGGTATAATAAAACTATCACTTTTAGGATAAAGCATTTAAAATTGTATTTTTTAATTACCAATACATCCAAAAACAAATCAAATAACATTTTAATTCTAATTCGCAATAGTAGTAGCATGCTTAAAATAAACTGTCAGCAAAAATAATTTTTAATTACGGACAAATAAACAAATAAAAAAAAAGAGAGAGAGAGAAAGGGGGGAAAAATCTGAAAAGTTTCAGATTTTAAATTACGTCCAAAGGGGCGTTTCTTTAACGTTTTGTGTGTTACCTTTATTTATTAAATATCATGTTCTTTGCACTTAAACCATAAAATTCAGTTCAATAGCAATGTCGCAAAATGATTTTAAAATGAGCGTATCTTTAGAATTTCCGATACACAGTTCCGCGCGCTGGAAATAAAAAGGTTTTTTTTTTTATTTTTTCCCCGTAAAGTGTTGTCATTGCTCGCTTTGATATACTTGAGTTTGTTACTCAAACATTCGTTAAAGTTTTACAAAATATGAAATCGATCATAAAACAAATTCCAAATTTCAAATTTGGTCTTCCATATGCCCATATTCGTAGGAGGATGACGTCATTCAAAATTCGATGGCTCTGTACCGTTGCTTTATCACAGTGCGAGAAATACACATACATTTATGCGATTTTTCATGATTTAATTTCTTTAAATATAATGCAGGACTCTAACATTGGGTGGCAACAGTTTGAAAAGTGAAACGGACATTTACAGTGATTCAACGCAAAATCGCAAAACGAAAACAATAGGTCTTCAGGGCAAAGCCCCTTTGCACTAATAAGACTGTAATACAGTTATTTTCGATGAAAAAGTTAATGCATAAAGTAATTATGGCCGGCTTACCACTTCTTTTATTGTTTATCGTTCTTGATGAATTATATTTATGCGTT